GAAATATTGCACAACTTTTTGTGCTGCCCCCCCACAAATAACTTTTGAAATCACATATTGACTCCTGTAACTACTTCCAAAATTGTACATGTTAGTTCCAAGTTGTAATTCATTTCCAAGTGAAACGTTTTTGTTTATAATCACTGGTCCAGGCAGTTGGAGACATAAACACCCATTTCTGAATTGTAGGTTTTCTCACCTGTAATCATACTCCCTTGACTTCAATGAGACTTGCACTTAGACACCATTTTAAAGGCTGAAGTTCTCTGCATGCTTGGGACTGGGGACCATTTAGTTCAGAGAAATTTCCTTCTGAATAAATATCGCCTCCTTTATTTAAAACATTTAGAACATAGGTTTCCTGTGCTCAAAGTGATTGGGCAGAAAGCATACTTCAGCATATTTGCTCCAAGTAAACCTTATGTGGAGTGGGCTGTAAGTGGGACTATACTGGGAAGGCCACATGATAAAGTGGTTAATGTGTCCAATTAGGACTGGGAAGAGCCAGGCAGAACCCCCTACTCAACCATGATGCTCATTTGCAATTCCATCCTAAGGAGAGTTACACCCTTCTAAGCCCATTATCTTCAGTGTACTTAGACAGGTGTAGCTCTGCTTAGGAGGGCACTGGGGGTGAAGTTGGACCAATGACTCTCATGTAGCCTAACCTACCTCATAGTGTTATGGGGATAAAATAAGGGAGGTCAGAAGCATGCATGTTGCTCTGAGCTTCTTGGAGGCAGAGTGGGATAATAAAAAAATGTGACAAAGGGGTGTCTTGTTCATAATTTAGAAAGCTTTTAAACTCTCCCTGTGTTTTCATCTCCTTTAAATGAACAAATATTGTCCTCCTCAGCCCTGTCTAACAGCAGTAATGTTTAAAAAGACAGAGGAGAAAAGTTGGTCTTCAGCAAAATTTCTTCATATTACAATGATAAACATCAGAGTCAGCAATACATTAATGTGGAAGGATGGCTTTATTCCTTAGCTGAATTATGTGTTTATCAAAATGTAGATTTCACCCTGATCTAATCTGCAGCAGAAAATACAATATTTAAAATCCCAGTTATGAAAGAAATCCATTAAGACACTAGAATGTTATTTCTATTTGTCAGAGTATTAATTTGCCTCAGTGTTAAGAGTGTATTTTGTTCCCATGTATGAACTGTAGGCATCTGTTTCAAGTTCCCTTGTAGATTTAGATGAAGAAATGAAGCTTTTAGGGCCAATATTATATTACCCAATATTGTAATAGCCTTGGGTTCCCATCTCTCTTTCCCATGGATACATTTCATGTAAAAAATGTGAGATGATTCTTGAAGGAGAGTATACTAAAGTGGCCCATTCAAAATGATGCTCATAGCAAACCCTTTGCAATGATAACCTATTTCTCGCTGACCCAAATGTGTTAAAGTAAGAGCCCATGGATTAAAAGACAATCAAGGATTTTGTGTACTGCAGCTACCAATCTCAAATAAAGACAATAAGCTAGGAGATTACCTTTGGAGGAAATGGGGCTGGGACAAGGCTGAAAAGAACAGACATGATGCTTTTTAGATTCAGGTGGGTAGCCATGTTGGTCTGAAACAATAGAACAAAGTTTGAGTCCAGTGGCACCTTTAAGACCAAGAAAGTTTAATTCTGCGTATAAGCTTTTGGGTGTGCATGCACGAAAGCTTATAAACATGAAAGCTTACACCTAAAATTAAACTTTGCTGGTTTTAAAGGTGACACTGGACTCATGTTTCTTCATTTACACCCCACCTTTCACCCAATGGGGACACAAATTGGCTTATCTTGTTCTCTTCTCCTTCATTCTATCATCACAACCCAGGGCTTCCAGACCCCCCTTGAGGAGGCGGGGGTCCCCTGTCATCAGGCTCTGCCCCCACAGTTGCCAATCAACTGGCTGGTGGTGGGATTTACCAGAAGAAAGAGAAACATCCAGGCCTTGTCGCTGGTGTCATACCAGAAGTGATGTCATCACACCAGTGCCATCCAGGCGATGATCTGGTATTTGGACAAAAACTGTAGAAGTTGGTTTTACCATAGCGTTTTTGCAAAAATACCAGAGTGTTGCCTGGATGGCACTGGCATGATGACATCACTTCTGGTACGAGACCAGCCTGTACTGTTTTTATATTGATCATTCATGATGTTTTTATGATTTTATGGTATTGTTTGTACTTCTAATCCACCTTGATTAGGAAACTGTAAAGGCACCATATAATTTCCCCAAATAAATAATTCTCAACATGTTCTTTTGACAAATATGGTAATGATATGGGCATTTTCCTTGAATTTTTAATGACTGCAATGATATTTAATGTTGATTTTTAATATGGTTTTAAAAGATAAAAATAAAGGCATGTACATTTCCAAGGTTATAATGAGCTGCTTCTGAGAATTTATAATTTTTATTAATTTAAGTTCCGATCGTAATAATCTTTCTGATAAGCGTTCCATAACAAAGCAATCCCAAATTTTATCTAGCCGTAGGGGATTTTTTGTGTGGGGGCCATCCTTTCTTTCCATTTCGAAGCTATTCCTAGTTTGGCTGCTGTGAGTAAGATGATTATCAAGTGTTTTCAAACCTGTGGAATCTGGTCTTCCCCCCACAGATTTAGGAGTATTCGCTCAGGAGTCATTGCGATTGAATATCTTGTGATAGAGCAAATTGTGCATGTAATCATATACCAGAATTTAACAATGTGGATCGCTCTACACAGGCTTACCCTTGAGGCTGACCCACAAATTACAGCTGGCACAAAATGCGGCGGCACGCCTGCTGACGTTGACACCTATGCAGGCTCACGTTCAGCATGTGCTCCGCCAATTGCATTGATTACCGGTTGAGTTCTGGATTCACTTCAAGGTGTTGGTAGTAACCTTCAATGCCTTACACAGTTTGTGACCAACATATCTGAGGGGCTGCGTCTTCCAATATACACCTCAAAGAGCATTACACTCTATGGATCAACATCTCCTGGTGGTCCCTGGTCCAAAGGACGTCCATCTCAGCTCGACCAGGGCCAGGGCTTTTTCTGCCCTGGTCCCTGCCTGGTGGAACATGATCCCTATTGAGATCAGGGCTCTGCAGGATCTTCTTCAATTCCACATGGCCTGCAAGACAGAGGTGTTCCACCAGGCCTTTGGCTGAGGCAGCAGGCGTCCATGTATGGCCTTCCTGAGGTTGTTGTCACCCACCCACTGACAACTGGCCATTATTCATCTGTTATCAGTGGGCCAGGGAACCTCTCACAGCCAGCTGATTTTTTGTTTTGAGCTGTAACCACTGATTTTAATGTTTATTATTGTGTTAAAAACAAACTGTATTTAGTTTATTGTTTGATATGATGTTACCTACCCTGAGCCCACTTGCGGGATGGGCGGGCTATAAATAAATAAATAAGCCCACCAACAATGCAAATAAGAACCCACACTGCTTCCAACATAGTGAGGTTTTGGAAGAATCCATATGATTCAGTTGGACTGGGGTAAGATGCCAGTGTGTAATGAGTTTAAAAGTTGTTACTCTAGCATTAGTTGCTTTCAACGCAGTGAAAGAAGTAGACCACATAGAATCCCATTGGTTGTTAGTTAGCTGTAAAGAACATATATCATTCCATTTGTTTTGGTATTGTGGTGGGTTGGAATTTCCAAAGTGAAGCAGTATGAGATACATTCTGGAGAGTAGGCCTTGCTGTGCTTGGGTTTCTCAACAGAGTTTCGAAGTTTGTGAAGCATCTAAGATAATATTTGTGGTTGGTCACCTATTAAACATATTGTGAATTTGAAAGAAGCAAAACCAGTGAAGAGGTTTGCTCAGTTTTCTGTCTAGGGAGGCTTTATCCAGTAAATGTCTATTCTTGGATAAGTCAATAATGCGGGTTACCCCAGCTTTTCTCCAAGACTTTACGAAAGTAGGGTCTTGGCCAGGCCCAAACAAGTTCTGATTCAGAAAAGAAGCCAGAGGAGAGGCATCAAGATCTTTCTCTTATTATTCCATGTTGCTAGCATAGCCTGGAGAAAGGGGTTGTTTGGCTTAGCAGAGTCCACATTCCTCTTTAGGGCCCAGATAGTGTCTTGAAGTGAATTAGATTTTGTGTATTCTTGCTCAGTCCATGTCCAGTCTGTAAGCATGTCAGCTTGCAGCATCGTAGCTAGACTTCCCAGTCTAGCAGTCTGGAGATAGAGGTTTAAATCCTGGAGACCCATACCCCCCTAATTTATGGGCTGCTTCTGTGAGATGTAGGGGAAGAGACATGAGGTACTTCCTGTTCTGCCACAGAAGTAGCAGATCCAAAGCCATAATCTGCTCTCAAAAAATATAATGTAAAAGAACCTTGGAATACAACCTTGGAACTCTCTCTCTCCCCTCACATCCCACTCCCCCATCCTGCTATTGTTCACAGCTGGCTGAATCAGTTAGTGAGGAATGCAGCATCTAAAAAGAAAGGCTTTTATTTTTATCCTTTTGAGAGGGAAAAACCATCATTAAATATTCTTCCATCAGTAGTCTTTTCAGTAATGAAAACATCATTGAAAATGTCTGCACTGTTACCATATTTCTAAAAAAACCCAACTAGGCAGAAAAAATACACACATACACAGTATTTTTTAATGCACCATAAGTTCTGCAAAAATATATTGTTCCTTCTCTGGGGCTTACAACACAGAATACTTCTTTATCGTTTCCTTGTATAACTCCAGTTTATTTCAATGGGCCCTGCATAGGAGGAGATTGTGGTGCATTGAGCTCAGGATCTATAAACTACTGATAAAACAATATCTAAGGCTGCTGTCCTAAGAATACCTTCCTGGGAGTAAACTCCAAGGAACAAAATTGAATGCCTTTCCAAAAATCCCTGTTTAGGATTGCTCCTGAAGTAACTTGACCACAAATAACTTTATAATTCCTTCTGATACAGTAGTTGTTATTTTCCCCTTGAATACCTAACAATGGATTTAAAAACATATTTAAACTTAATCTTTTGCAGCTTGCTCAGATCTTACCCACAGAAGAAAACTTCCTCTTGTTCTTTAGGTGCCAGCAGCTGAAATCGAGTGAAGACTTCATGCAGGTAATCTGTGCAATTCTCCCTTTTTGTAAAGTTAACAAGAAATATCTTTTTGTGATTAAAAAAAAACAAAAACGTTTTAAACTTCTCATTTCCAGATATGGAGAAAATATGATAGTGACCACAGTGGCTATATGGATGCTGAAGAGCTTAAGGTAAGACATGATCTATGGTACAATTTAAGCCACCGAAAGGCAGCCTCAACTCTGAAAGTTCAGTCCAAAATTGTCTGGTAATGATTGTGAAAGGGACTCCATTCAAGAATACTTCTTAGTGTTCTTGCTATCTGAGAAGGGGGCAAAGGTGGTTGAAAGGCACTTCCACTGGACCTCAGAGATACTAACAGGATACACAGAAAGAGAGAATTTCCATAGTGTTTAGATTAGACAGATGGGTATATGTATTCAGATCTAGTATTAATACTGTTGTTTTCCTCCTGAAGCATACAAAAGCATTAACTGGATGTCATTAATTTTGCTTTCAAAGAAGCTCTTTAATAGAACTGCAAATTGCTTTAGCATTGGATTTTGGTCAATTTACTCCTGCTAAAGCCATTTTTTGGCTTAACAGAGAGGTTCTCTAGACAAACAACTCAGCACATGGGCACTGTTCCTGGATTTTACCATCTCAGACCGCAGGTGTGGGAGTGCAGGACTGGATTTTTCCCTATACAAACAAACAACTAGAGGCCTAGATATCTAGGAGAAAGGCATTAGCACAATCTTTTATCTTTTTAATATCCTTCTTTCTTTACAAATTATTTTATAAGGAGAGCATTCACAGTGCAATCCTATGCAGAGTTACTGATGTCGAAGCCCAGTGATTTCAGTAGACATAGACTGGAGTAAGTCTGAATAGGATTGCACTGTTAGTCATGTAAATCAAGGAAGGACAGACTTAATGAGGTGGATATACCCATCCTCCAAGCGGCCTCCCTCCAGCCTAAGGAGCCTTGCTCTAACGTAAGTGGCTGTTTCTCCAGTGCAAGAGCCACTTAATTTAGAGCAATGCTCCTTAGATGGGAGGAAGGCTTCAGACTTGAGCCAAAAGGAAAAAGTGGGATATAAATATTTAAATAAATAAACTTTGCCCAGCGGCATGGTAGGATAGGGGTAGGATCCTCTCCTACATTTCTGGGAGCTACCATGGGGAAGGGCAGTCGCTGTATTTTACAGCATCTGTTTGTCATGCAGAAGGTCATAGGTTCAACCCCTGGCATATCCAGTTTAAAAAGTATCAGGTAGTTGATGATGTGAAAGACCTTTACCTGAGACCCTGGAAGCTGATGCCAGTCTGAGTAAATAATACTGATCCTTATACTGATCCCTATACTCAGTATAATGCACCTTCATGTTGTCCATATGTACAAGTCACAAAATGGTGGTTTGGTGGCTGCAGCCAGTCACAAAACGGTACCGTCTACCAATAATATGTTTCAGAACAGGGTGTGCACCACTCAGGTGGGGAGACCTTTCCTCCTAAGGCACCTCCCCCCATTGTAACTAATGGGGTGGGGGGGGGAGGATAGACCTCTGTATTTTCCTGGACGAGGTAAGCAGCAAGTTTGATGCAAAGACTAAAGTGTCAGTAGTACATGCCATTCCTATCCACAGGAAGGACGCATGAGTGCATGTATGAAGGAGGAGGAGAGGCAGATGAGATAGAGGGGTGCTGCTATTATTTTCTCGTCCAGAGCCCACATGCATGCATGCATTAATAGGGTTGCCAGCCCACAGTTGGTAGCTGGAGATCTGCTATTACAATTGATCTCCAGGAAACAGAGATCAGTTCACCTGGAGAAATTGGCTGCTTTGGAAGGTGGACTCTATGGCAGTATACCCCACTGAAGTCTCTGCCCTTCCCAAACTCCACCCTCCTCAGGCTCCACCCCCCAAATCTCTAGGTATTTCCCAACCTGGTGCCTGCCACCCTAGTGCATGTGTCCCTCATAAAAGAGGAAGAGATGAGAAGCTCCTGTGGTAGTTTAAAGAGAAGGATAAGAAAATGATTACTACAGCAGTGGACAAGGGATGCAGAGCTACTTTTCATTGCTTGGAGAATGACTCATCAACTCCTTATGGAACCCCCCAGTTGTAATTCAGACACACTTTTACCAAAGGAATAATGGTTTGTCTAGGGGATCTCTTGTTTACAGACTAGCTGCTTAATATGACTACATTTGGAAAACTCATCAGGGACAATCTAAAGAAAGCCCACATTTATAAAACCACAGTGCAGTACCTCAAATGCACCACTCAAGTCAAGACTGTTTGAAGACGCCTTCCAGCTCACCGTGCCATGGTCTATACATGTTTCATAATGCATATCAAGTTCCTCTGTAGTCTTAGATAGACTGGATGAGGGAAATTGGTTGAGATTATCAAGCAAGACAAACCTGCCACCTACAGGCACATTACAAAGCATTACAATCATTACTATGCTAGTAAATAACCCTGGGATAGAAGTTCATCTCCTTCAGGATATGACAATCTGAATTGGCTGAACCATTCTTTTATGGATTGATGTATTTTAATAGAATAAACTACAACTGTTTATTAAAACATTTCCAAGGCAGTTTACAACACTGAAATATACAAAAACACTTATCTGAAGAAGTGTGCATGCACATGAAAACTTATACCCAGAATAAAACTTTGTTGGTCTTAAAGTTTCCACTGGACTCAAACTTTGTTCTAATACTCATCTTAAAATATAACTGAATACATAATTAACATTAATCTTCTCAAGTAAAAGACTAGCAATAAATAATTCATGTACTTAAAATAAACACTTAGCAACAATGAAACAGAACAAATAAATTAGCAAAGCCAAAGAGCAAAAATATTAAACATTGTTATTAATAACAGGACCAATAAGACCAAGTACTATGTACAGTAATAGCAAGGCTCACATTAACAATCAGACACTAAATGGACAAATAGGCAGGTTTTGATCTGACATTAATATCAGGCTTGGCACCAGCTGAAGAGTTATGTGGAAGGAATGCCATGGTTGAGGTGCCACAGTCAAGAAGGCAGTGTCCTTAGTAGTCACCTAGCTCACGTCTGAAGTTTTTTTAAAAATCTCACTTCTATCCCACCCTTCTTCCAGGAAGCTCAGGGCAGCATACATGGTTCTTCTCCCCCCCCCCCCCAAAACAGGCATCTTCCCCCCCCCCCCCCCAATACTGGACAATTGCCTAAAAAAAAGAAAAGAAAAGCTAATTCACAATCACCTCTGTTTGAGAATTACAACCTGTACTGATGATGAGAGCATTAACTCTTCAAAGCTTATACCCTGAAAATGTTGTTGGTCTCTAAGGTGGTACTGGGCTTGAATCTAACCAATACAATTTGCTCCTCGTTGGTGCATCTGCCTGGTACTTCCGGGATGTAATGTTGTTGCTAGACTGACTGTTGTTCCCCTGCTTTGAAAAGGCAAGATCCAGCATGGCTATGAGGCAAATGGATATTGATAGTCGCCACTTGAGGAATGGGCCCTTGGGATTATCCTTCTTTACCTACTCAGCTGGCTTCATGTTACAATTTGGTCATTGTTTCGAGCACAGCTCACTCCATGTAATCTGTAACTTTCTCTCCCTAATTATCAGTGTCAGCTAAAAACTCTGGTCTAAAATATCAAAAAAGCACCAATACTCCAAAGAATAATATAAAGAGGTTAGAACAGGTGTGTGAATTTTCCTTACAGCTGATAGGCACTTACAATTCCCAAGCTCTCCAGATTTTTTACTTAATAAAGAATTTTAAATGTCACTAAACTAGGACAGTCAAATGATCTGCTGGGAAAACAAGTATCATTTCACACAGTAAAAGAAAAAAAGTGTGTGTGTATGTGTTTAAGACCAGCAAAGCAACTTACTCACTGCATCAGCTCCTCTAGCAAAAAGAAACACGTGCCGCTATGGAATGTGTCTTCAAAGGAGAAGAGGAGAAACCCATCATCAACATAAATACGGAATGGCAGCATTCAGTTCTACAGAGACAAAGGATCAAAATTATAGTGAGGAGCTGAAAAACAGTTAGATGGGCAAGTTCTGATGCAAGCTGGAGAGCTCTGCCCTCCCTCTCACCTGTCTTCCCACAAAGCCAAAGTCTAGAATTGAATCAGAAAAATAACATATCTGAGCTATCCTCTCCACCTGCCTCCCCTACTGGCAGATCTGTTGATCAGCCTTTCATGTTTCTGCCATAGGAAATGACATCCCATTACGATACCGGAATGTCAGCCGACTGTTCTGAGTGTAGCATATGGGACATTTTAATAAAATGTGCCATTTTTATGGATATTTCTTAAGACAAACAAATAAAAGGCCTATATTTGGATTTGATAAAAGAACTCTTGGAGGAAGTGTTTGCAGGACGAATGTGTCTTTTCGCATTGTCCTTAGGCCAGCGGTCAAACTAATTTTAATTGTTGAAAGGAAATAAAGGAAAGGGGAAAGTGAAACACAAGAGGGAGAAAGGAGACACTGAAAAACGGAAATGGCAGAGTAGTATATGACCAAACAGATATGGTTCATAATCCCTATATAGCTCATTGTATGTGCACCCCCAGTGGAGGGATGCAACATTCACGGAGCATTCTTTTACATTCAGAGAACCCAAGCCGGGAAAGACATATTTGTGTGGCTTATCCATGCTGTGTCTGTCTGAAGTGCTTCAAATTAGCAATGCATTATATTTGCTATTGTTGCACAGTTAATATATAGCATCTTATTTTCTGGGAAATAAAGTTGTGGGATCAAAGTTACTCATTCCGGTCCAACATGCACGAGGAGGTGGGTTTCTGTACATGTTTCCCTGCCCAGATAGGGAACTGTGCACACAAGCACTGATGTAGATGCACTTTTTTTTAATATTCTTTTTTATTATTTTCTCATTATACACAATGATATTTCGCTTATACAGATTTCCTTCAAAGTAAAGAATCTTCCCACAGTCAAGCTTGTAGTACCCAGTTAAGACATACAAGTAATATTTTTTAACCATTTATACAATTTTGTCCAAGTAATCTCGAAACATTTTTCATCCTTCCCTTTTAGAACTAATGTTAGTTTATTCATTTCAACCATATTTAATAATTTATCTATTATTTCTCCTCTTTCCGGGATTTTTTCCAATTTCCAATATTTCGCGTAGCTAATCCTAGCGGCAGTCACACAATGTATCACAATTATTTTCTCAGTTTTTTCAAATTTTTCAGGCATCATATTCAATAAAAACAGCTCTGGCTTCATCGGAATAGCAATTAAAGCACAAGCCTTTTGGTCAATGATACATAAAATCAGAGGTCATTTCGGGGGGGAACGCGGGGGAACACAGTTCCCCCGGGTGAGGTGCAGGGGGCGGGGCACACGACGAAGCCCCGCCCCCTGCTTCTGGCCACCCCGCTTCCAGCCCTCATTCAGCCAGGAGGAGGCAGGAGAAGAGGGAGGGTAAGTTGCTTCCTCCCCGCCTCTCCCCACCCCTGTCTGCCTGGGGCCAGGGAGGGCCTTGGCGGGACTTCCTCGCACTTCCGCCAGCCTTGCAGGTCTACCGCCGGGCCCCTGATGTCAGGGGGTGTGGCATATGCTAATGAGTTATGCTAATGAGTTCCCCTAGCTCTTTTTCTACGAAATGACCCCTGCATAAAATATTACAAGATATGTACATGCACTTTTTGAGGCTAATCCATCAGGATCTGTGGAAATCATTGGTGTTCACAAAACTGACCTCAAGAATTGGTGATGGCACCAGTCAGTTGTTTGGGAGGGGGCAGCGGAGTGCTGGGTTCCATTCCCCCCCCTTCACTTGGTTGCTGGTTATTTAAGGCAGCTCCTGTGTCTGCACACAGTTGCAGCCCTTTCTGCAAATTCAAAAGGGAGATTCTGCAAGGTTAAGAAGCAGGAAGGAACATAGTGTGGAATGGGAGTTCCTGTTTAGAATTAACAGCCTTCCTAACTATGTACATGCCATGTTGTGCATATAGTAAAAAATGCCAAATTGCAGTCAGTGCCTAAAAGACTGATCTTGATTTCTGTGTTTTATTTTTAAATAAAGGTATAATTTTGTTCTTTCTAGGGTTGCCAGTTCCTAGTTGAGAAACTACTGGAGATTTTGGGGAAGGAGCCTGGGGAGGGCAGGGTCTGGGGAGGGGGGGGCTTCAGTGGAGTCTAATGGTATAAAGTCAGCCCCTCAAAGTATCCATTTTTTCCAGGGGATTTGATCTTTGTCATCTGGAGATCAGTTGCAATCCCAGGAGATCTCCAGCCACCACCTGGAGGCTGGCAACCCTATCTTTAATATTGTCTAATTGTACATAAATGCCAGGTTTAATTGCAGAAGAACTTGTCTGGTACATTTGTAATTGATCATGAATTTCAACATCTCATCCTCAAGGCAAACCAGGCAAATGATTTGATTTTTGACGTCTCTTAATCACTTGTGTTTATTCTGTCCCAGGGTTTCTTGAAAGACTTGCTACAGAAAGCAAATAAGCAGATTGATGACTCAAAACTGACAGAATACACAGACATCATGGTAAGACCGAGCAGTTTCATTCATGGAAATACAACCCTACTACCTTTCTGAACAACACTAAGATAATTTGTGCAGGTCTTTTTCGGTGGTCCTCTTTCATTACTCCTCAATTTAAGGCTGTCTAGGTTTCAGGAGCAAGAAGAGGAGCTCTGATACAAAGGTCTTGGAAATTATAACTGCTAACACCGTTTTAATTAACTCGTGTACCATATGCCAATATCGCTGCATTAGCTTACATCTCCACCATCTCTGATTTATACTCCCTCTACCTTTTCAGTGTCATGAATGTGTTTGGCCCCAGGAAAAATATTAAATAGTAAAGCTAATAGGTTTCATATAATTTAGTTCCAGTATTGTATTTAATTATCAAATGCCCAGAATTTGAAGACTCTCGTAGTGAATGATTGTTGTGTATCTTGCAAAAAAGAAAAGAAAAGAAAACAAAAGAAAAGAAAGTTCATACAACTTCCGTTATGTTCTTTCAGCTCCGGATGTTTGATGAAAACAATGATGGAAAGCTGGAACTGACTGAAATGGCCAAGTATGTATTTAAGAGAATGATAAAAAATAAATGGAGGTTTGCACTAATCAGTAGAAAGAGGAAGAGATGGAAAGACAACCTCAACAAAATGGGTGCTGGGAAAATAGATCATTAAAACAAGCTGCAAAGACCCAGTGCATTCGGGGAGCACAACCCTTCTTTAAAGTCAGCTCGCTTGAAAAAGACTTCAGTAAAAAAGGTGACTCTTGGCTAACAGACTGAGTGGCACTGGGATAGATCCCAGTTCATTTTTTTTTCCCCAGCCAGAAACTAACTGGGTAGGCTTAGGTAAGCCGTTCTCTTTCAGCCTTTGCCCCACTTCTGCAGTATGGAGAGACTAATGTTATGATAAGGATTACAAAATGCTGGCCTGTATTCAATGAGATCTGCTTATGGACTTGTGGTGCTTTCCTATTTCCCCTTCCTACTCTAGTCCAATGAGCCCCCCTCCCTGTTCTGGAAGTCAGCAGACCTTCAAGAACAGCATATGGGGAAAACATGGTCCACAGTAAAAAAAGGACTTCGCAGACAGAGTATAAGATCAACCTGCCCTGTTCCTCTGATAAAGGAAGTGGAACTCCATCCTTGGAAGCAAGTGGTAGGTTACAAGCCAGTAGGTAGAATCCAAAGAGCCAAAAGCAGATTTTTTTCACTTGCTGAATGGCTCTTTCCATTCTCCCTGACTTATTCAGCCTGAATGCCAGCAAAAAAATTGCTTCTGGAGGTCAGGTGATCCTCTGGAGCAGCACATAATACATATGAAGCTGCCTTATATTGACTCAGACCTTGATTGAAGTTCAGTATTGTCTACTCTCTGTCAGTAACTCTTCAGGGAGTCAGCTCTGGGTTTTCACATTACCTGCTACCCCACGTTTTTAATTGGAGATACCAGTGAGTCTGAAACTGGGACTTTCTGCATGTAAAGCAGATAATCTGCCACTGAGCCACAGCCCACCTTCGTGTCCAGCCACAGTCATGGCTAGGCTTGCCAAGTCCCCCCGGGGGGTGAGGAAACCCCCACCCCAGAGGCCCGTTCCCCGCCGCCGCCGGATCGGACCCCGGGGGGAACTCCGCCCCGACGTGCACGTCACCAGAAAGTGACGTGACTACGCCAGGCACGCTGGGGGCGAGGCCACAGTCATCAGAGGGAAAACTCTATGGTTTTCCCTCGGATGGTCGTGGCCCCGCCCCCAGCGTGCCCGGCGTCGTCACGTCACTTCCTGGTGATGTGGATGCGGCGTGCGCTGTGGAGGAAGGTAACACTTGGCAACCCTAGTCATGGCAGAAAAGAACGGATGGGAACTTCCCACACACCACTGAGGGCTTTAATAAGGGGTTAGACTGATCCACGGAGGATTCAAGGAGAATAGGTCTCTCAGTGGCTACCAGCCATGATGAATAACAGAAACCTCTCTACTCAGAGGCAGCACACCTCAATACTAGTGCTAGGAAACAAAATCACAGGAAGGTCATATTAGTTTAGCCCTCCTGGGCAATTGGTTGGCTGCTGTGTGAAAGAGTATGTGGGACTAGATGGACAACTGGTCCAACCCAGCAGGCTTCACTTATGTTCTTATGGCTTGCACAAGCAAAAGCACAAGCAGGTATTTTGGATTCAACACAATATATATGAAGCACTTTGGGCCCTCCAAAGATGGCAAGAAATGTTTCTTTTACAATGCGAAGGAAATGCAATAGAATCATCTCAATATAAAAAGTTTGAACAAGTAGTGCTGTCTCTGAAGAAGGATTTTACCCACCCAGAATGCACTGGGGTGCACGTGTGCAGCTCATTTTAAATATCTGCTGCTCGGTATCCATGGAGGCCACTACCTCTCTCCTATTTTTTCTACAGGTATCCCTGTAGACCTTGTGTAGTATACCTTTCAAGTTATATAACAGCTCTGTAACTGTTTCACCTACCCTTGTGTTTTCTCCAAAGATTGCTCCCAGTACAGGAAAACTTTCTCCTTAAATTTAAGGTATGCAGCTTCATGTTTTAAAGTTTACATGCGTGGTTTACATTTATATCAATCGCAGTCACAATGGTTCTAACCACCATCTTTTTTTTTTTAATGGTAGGGTGTCAAAATGAGTCAAAATGAATTCAGTAAAGCATTTGAATCATTTGACTCGGTAAGTATACATTATTTAAAAAACAAAAAGACATAAAAGAACTGTTCTTAAATGTTCTGCAGGAGGAAATAAATTGACTCTTAAGTGGCTGAAATTAATGTTAGAAATGCCCTTCTCCCCCCCTCCCCCACAGGATAGAAGTGGCTTCATAGATGAACAGGAACTTGATGCTTTGCTGAAGAATCTTTGCGAAAAGAACAAATCGGTAATTTCAGTGGTTTTATTTCTGCTAGAAGTGCATTTGAATTGTATTTGAAAGGGTTTTTTCCTCCAGTCTAATCAGTCAAGATACTTTTCTGTCCATCGATTGCATTTTTATCCCATGTCTTCTTCAAGGAGTTTATGGCAGTATACATGGAGTTGAATCCAGCCAGCTTTTCCACTCCATCTCACCTAATACTTGTCCTCACTACAGCCCCCATCCCAAGTGGCTTCTGTTCATGCAGGACCCATGATCCTCAGCAAAGCTCTTGTGCTGGTCAAGGGGAAGCCCTCCTCTGTTCTCCAACAGCAGAAAAAGCTGGTGGGATCCAACTCATGGTTTGCCCCTCCTCTCTGAGGCAGATTGGGGCTGAAAGAGATATAGTGTGGCTCAGAGTCAACCAACGAGTACCATGAGTCAGTGAGAATTTGAACCATGCTAGCCTGAGTTCTAGTCTGACACTCTAGCCACTGTACCACACTAGCTGTCTTATTATTATTATCATGGATCTTTTGGAAAGCTAGAGGTCAGGAGTCCAGTAATTTCTGTGGGAGCAGAATGCTGCTCTGCTTGCACAAGGGGAGCTCGCTTATTTCCATCCATCTCCCACACTGCCTCAACCTATGTGCTAGCTTTTGTGGGACCCAAGGGGTTGCAGGAGTAAGCAGGAGGCAACAATGATCCATTCTGCAAGCAGAAATCACTTGCAATTCTTAGGATCCAATCCAGTAGGGCGTAACAAGCAAGTGCCTTCACATCAATCAAATCAATCATTATTTCCACTTTCACTTTAGCAAAGTACTATCATTTCTGTATTATTCACATAGTCATTTCAGTCAAGAGTCAGCTGTTAGCATTCCTCTCATCTTTGACCTTAGGCTGAGAGGAAAAACCCAGCATCCTATATTCCTATGTTTTTGTAAAGGTGTCCCCCCCAACCCCAATAATAAAACTATCTTGTGCAACAAATGAGCTACAGTGGTGCATCTGCTGTCTTCTGGAAGGGTTGTGATGTCACTGGTAACGATTTCCACATGTGGTGGTGGTTCTTTGCACCATTCAAGGCTTCTGGAAAGTTAAAGAAATCAGATGTCCCGAACTTCTTCATTCTGAAACTCTTACTCTTGTATTGTAAATGGAAAAATACATTTTTTTTCTTATCCTTTTAAATGCTTATGTGATTTCTGATAGCTGCTGTCAAATCTAATGTTGCCCAACAGTGGAAGTTCAGTGCTTGTCCTTTGCTCAATCACTGGCTCCCTAGATGTTGGGACAGGGCCATTATGTGCAAACTTACAGAGAGAGTAATGGTAGCCAGGGGTTTGGAAATAGAAAATACTGTTTTTGGAAGTATGGGAGACATGTATTGGTTAGGCTGATTAAAAATAAATATACCATGCCAATGGCAAGGTAATTAAAAGTTGTTTATGTGCAGTAATAATAGATTTATTTTTAAAGCATTATGTTCAGCACTGCAGATTCTATTATATGTAATTGTATTACTCGTGCTCTGGTGGGTGATAAATGGTATAGTTAGGTGTATGCAGACTCTTTGCTTGCGTCATGGCCTCTTTGCAAACCAAGGCAATTTTGGGATGTGTGTGTGTGTGGGGGGGGTAACATTCCTTATACAATGTCTTTCTATACTACCTGTGCTATATAAATGATATTTATGCATTTGCTGTAAAAGAATATGCATATGCTGTAAAAGTATAGCCTTTTTAATAGAATCCAAGTTTAAAACAAACAGGGTTAATTCAAAGGGGTCTTTCTACTCACAGAAGATTTCTGCTCACAGAAGTACACCTTTGGATAAGACCCAAAGGCTTTCATCTAACCCATTGTCTGGAGATGCCCCAATTAACCTAAGGAAATATGCCAAAACACAATGTTCTAAAATATATACAGACACGTTTATTAGAAGTATGCTTAATACAGTGGAAGCATGTCGATTCGTATCCTACCTGTTTCCACTTGATCTCGCTTCATTCCCCTCCGAAGTATGCTTAATACAGTGGAAGCATGTTCGATTCGTATCCTACCTGTTTCCACGATCTTGCTGCATCCCCTCACCTGGAATGGCTTTTGTCCATGAAGTGTCCTTGATTTTCTGGAAGAGTCTTTTCAGTGCTCAGAAGGGGCTCTTTCTCCCTCTCGGTATCGTGAAAGTCTGTAAGATCCAATCCTTTGCTTCTCCATATTACAACCGGATGAAATCGTGCTATATAACCTCTTTCCATGTATATAACCTCTTTCCATGTAGTGCTGGTAACTTGCATGTGTGTACTGATAACTGACAATAAAACATTGCCTCTTCTCCCCCTTCCAACCCCCAGGAATTAGACATTAACAACATTGCAACGTACAAGAAGAGCATCATGGCCTTGTCCGACAAAGGAAAACTTTTCCGGAACGATCTCGCTCTTATCCTCTGCACTGGGGGAAATTAGAGTCCATTGATAACTTCCATTTAACTAGTGATATATCTTTAAAAACAACAACAAAATAACTGTGCACTATAAGGGAGTAGGCTTTACTTTCTTTTATATCTTGTAAATTTAAAACTGCATATAGATAATTAGCCAGGACATGTGGCACATTCTTTTCAGCTTGTTTCTATACTGTTTGTAATGTACAGTTTTTGTAACTATAAGATTGATAAAAGAGAGCGTCTATGTTTGGGCCAATCTATTGATTCATTTAACACAAACCGTTACAATGTCAGTGTATTCATGGGGGAGAAAAGGACGGAAGCAGGTCTGAACATTCCACTGGGATCATTTTGGCTTGTTATATTCTTTGACACTGGCTGTGGCGAAGAGCAGCAGAAACAATGATCTTCAGTAAATAAATGGCTGAGCCATACTTCTTTGCACAATGGAAGGAGGCATAGGTTCAGAATCAAAGAAAGGCTTGTCAGTGTAAGAGAGGGTGACTAACCTGTGGAACACTCATGGCAAGTGGTACCTACAGCAGGTTTCTGTGGCACACTTGCACAGGAGGAAGAAGGCCTACAATACAGTCTTGCCCACCTCTGGAACTGTCCTGCTGGCTCAGACTACAAGGAACGCATCCAACAGGAGTAGCATTCTGTCATACTCTTGTCTTGGGGGTGAGATCATGGCTCAGTGGTAGAATATCCACTTTGTATTCAGAAGGTCCCAGGTTCAGTCCCTGGCATCAAGGATCAGGTAGCAGGTGATGTTAAAACATCTACCTGGAAACCTGGAGAACAGCTGTCAGTCAGAGTAGAAAGTGCTGACCTTGATAGACCAATGGTCTGATCAAGGCAGCTTTGTATGACTTGAGGCACACTTGCCAACAAAAGTTGGCCATTACTTATTTAGGAGATGTGTTAAGACATTTTCAGTCATCAGGTCCCCAGTTTACAGTCCAGCAGTTTAGTTGATTCTATGTGAGGTTTACAGTGCAATCCTAAACAGTTACTGGAGTTACCCATTGACTTCAATGGATTTAGAAAGGATTGTTTAGGATTGCAATGCTAGGGATTCTGCTAAGTGGGAAGAGGTTTAGGGCTAGTGGCATACAAGCGCTGGTGTTATGGAAGTTAGCAGTGCAGTCATTTACTTTACAATATTAATTCTCACCAAGCAACTTGGTTCCCCTGAACCACGCACTGAGGTCACAAGAACCTCAGGATAACGAGACACTGAACTTCATGAGAAGCCTCTAGTATAACTTGACAGCCTAGACAGACAAGGAATCACAAGTAGTCAAAATGTCTTCTTTTAGTGGGCAAACTGGAGAAATAAATTGAAGACAAGGAGAACGACTAAAACGCAACTGAGCCCTTCTATCGTATAACTTTAGTATCAGTGAAAGCTGCTGTGTCACAGAATATGACAAACCATTTTCTAAGACTATTTTCACATTTTGCAGAATACTATAATTCTGGCAAACTGCTGTTTTTACATCATTCAGTGTAATCTATCATTAAATTTAATATACTAAGAGCATCGGTGTCTAGTTTGTCTACTTCCTGTATCCTGCTATTTAGAAGGGAATTAGAAAAGCAAAACAAAACATGAGTTCACACAAACTGATCTTCTACTTGGCTAAAGTTCCACTTGGCCCCAGTTTCATCCCAGTAGCCATGATTCAGCAAAAAGCAGCGATTAACTCCCACAGAAGTGCGTGGCATGACTAAGATCGTAATCCTATATACCCTTATTTAGAAATGAGCCACACTAAATGGTGAAATTTACTTCTGAGTACACATGCAAAGGATCAGGCTGCTTTTTGTTTTCAGTGATACTAAGGCTGCATGCCCCTCTGTACAATTACTGTACAATTACACGCATGAAATCATGCTGCTGGGCATCACTGACTTCTCCTGGATTGTGTCCACTGACAGTTCAAGTCCCTCCTGTAAGATACCCAGGCTACATGAACATTTTAAAATTACACTATTTCTTGACATAAAAAAATCTGCATTGTATTCAGTCCTTTAAGTTAAAAACTGGACCTAGATTTAAAAAGGAGCTTTTTGGTTACGTTCAGCAAAGTAAGCTTCCCTTCTCACAACAGCCCCTGTCAAATTGGCACATCTCTCCAACTGATGTGGAAATGTCCCCATTTTACACTGATGTGAGAGGGAACAAGGTCTTGTGTATATTCATGTCAGTTAAATTAAGAAATCCCTGCTTAAAGTGTGCTTTCTTATGATCAAGCATAGGGTTGGTTTCTTATAGCTAGCAAAAGACACTGATTTTTACCTTTATATGATGGTTAAAATCCATACTACAAGATACAAATGGCCTCTAAAAAGCAAGTGCCTTGCATTTCATTTCTGAAACATGTACAATTAAAGGTGGAAAACTAAAAGACTTAACACATTCAGAGGTTTCAAGGCAGGTCAAGAAAGTCCATTTTAACGATTCCACTTCCAGCACAGTGATCTCATTCTTCTCACTCACATTTAATCTCTCTATGCAATGTAAAATATAATTGTGTATTTTAAAAAGGGGAACAGTGATTTGAATATCTGCCTACAGGCTTCATCATGCATTGCAAAATGATTAAACTTAGATTGTCAACAAAACCATGGATTTGTCTTTTCATATTTAATTGCAAAATGAAAGGGGGGGGGCTTATACTGTAAATGTTTGTGAGCAATAACCTGGTTCTTACACTAGAAACATAGAATCATAGAGCTGGAAGGGACCTCCAAGGTTATCTAGTCCAACCCCCTGCACAATGCAGGAAATTCACAAATACTTCCCCCTCCAGTCCACCAGTGACCCTTGTTCCATGCGCAGAAAATGGTGAAAAACCCCTCCCGGATCCCTGGCCTAACTGGCCTGGAGAAAATTGCTTCCTGACCCCAAAGTGGTGACCAGCACTTCCCTAGGCGTGTAAGAAAGGGCCACGAGAACTAAGCACTGATGCAACCCTTCCTGCCCTCCCTCTCATGATCTGCCTAAGGTCACAGAATCAGCATTGCTGTCAGATGGCAATCTAGCCTCTGTTCGAAAACCTCCAAAGAGGGAGAACCTACCACCTCCCGAGGAAGCCTGTTCCACTGAGGAACCACTCTGTCAGGAAGTTGGCATCTGGTGCTGCCGAGGAGCCGCTCTCATTGTCAGGAAGTTCTTCCTAAAGTTCAGCCAAAAACTCTTTTGATTGAATTTCAACCCATTGGTTCTGGTCTGATCTTCTATGGCAATGGAAAACAACTCCATACTATCCTCTATGTGACAGACCTTCACTGGATTACAGAAGTGAGGGTTATAAATTATTTCAACAGAAAACAATTGCTAATTGGAATTTTTGCTAACAAATAAGTTGCCTATCAGCTATTTTCTTCTGAAGTCAAACAACTACTTTCATACACCTAAAGACACTAGTTTATGTGTGCACACACAAGTACATAAATATATACATGCACATGCTCACAGACTACTGGGAACATCAGAACAGTTGAGATATTTCCATATCACTCCCAAAGCCACAGTTTTAGTATATGTGGAATCAAAAGCTCTTTCCATCATTACGATTTTGGCACTCCTACCTCGTGTAGTGGGACAGTCCACTATGCATACTACTCTCAATATCGATTTGCTATTCTGTGAAGATTGGGCCACATGCATATTTTCCAACTTTAGTATATATGAACATGTACATCTAGGTTTCTGATCGTATGGACTCGAGCTGGAGGAGACACACATTGTACCCCTACTTACACAACAACGCAAACATGCATATTAAGAGGACTGTTCATAGTAATCGCCTGATATGTGAGGTAGACGCCTCAAAACCATGATTGAAAATGGCTAATGATGCATACCTAGCAAATGTTTGAAAATGGGATATTTGTGCATTGTTTCCTTTAAAGAGGACCCAAGTATAAACTCCTCATTATGGACAAGGAGTACATGTTACAGTCAGGTATATCCCTGACTGTACATATATTGTCACAGGTCACTGTAGGGTCAGCCAGATAAGATGACAGCCACAGTACACGCAAACCACATTTTTGAGTTTTTAATCTCAAGATCACAGGTTGAAGATCTCAGGTAGGAGGACTTGGAAAGACTTGAGACCCAGAAGTCCTGCCACAAGAGAGGAGCAGAGCTGGTTTGCCATTACCTTCCTCTGCGTAGCAACCCCAGGCTTCCTTGATGGTCTCCCATCCAAGTAATAACTGTGGCCAACCCTATTTAGCCCCTAAACTCCAATAAACTTGGGTTAAACCAGATTATCCAGGGCAGCAATCATAAATACTGATGGCTGTTGCCTTTACTTTGTTGAGAAGCCTTTGGTTTTGTGGGGTGTGTCCATAATGAACATTTCCTAGTGGCTGGTATATTACATAAGATATCAGCAGAGGAACTGTAGGTATATTGATTTCATTAGGAGAAATTCATCGTTCCATGAATGGTACTCATTGGAACTATTTAAAAGGTTCATAAATATTTAGTGATGCAGTTTGAAATCAGAACTCAAATTCGTAAAAACTATCAGTCTTGGGTGACTAAAACACTGCTCAGGATTCCACAATTAAGGGCCTATATATAAGTGTCCCAATTTCCACAGCTGCCATGGGGCTACAAGTCCCAGAGGTGTCAAATGGAGCAGCCAGTGCTATGAATCTTTGGAAATCAGGCCAGTGCAGAACAACAACCATTTCAGGTTACTGCATTTACAAGTCACCTATTAAACTGCAAAGACAGAAGTCACAGAACGCTCAACAGTGGCTCCAGCTCATACAACCAAGTGGAAATTCCCTCTCGAGGAACACAGTTCATTTAGAATGCAATGTGTCACAGGAAGCCTCGTCATTCTAATAGGGTCTCTTGTTACTGTAGGCGGGAGATGGGGCAGATTTAGTTCCCAACACAATGATATCTCAAAGGCATTGCTTTACTTTTGTCCTTTAGAGGTGAATAGCAGCCTTTCAGTTTGCTAAGAAACACAAAATGAGCACACTTGAGTATTCTAGTGAGATGGGATCTAAATGTGCTTAGGTGTCTCCTGCCCAGCTGAGTCCCAGATCACAGTCCATTTGCCTTCACAGGTATAATGGAGGTTGTTGAGTCTACCCCTAGCTACCCAGTTCACATTAGGCTTTCCCATTCCTGGTCATGTTACACAGCAACAAAGCCAGCACACAGGAGGGTCCCACTAAAACAGAGATCATCCACAGGGCCCAATTAACTCAGCAGGAGCCGATTCCCAATTGACATGCATCTTCAAAACCATCTTCGCCATTGACTTGTGCATATCTTACTTTCTGCCACAACAGAACACCTTCCCATCAAAGATATATGCCACAGATTGTTCCATGGCATTATCCAACGTGCAATCCATGAGGATGCCTGAATCAAAATGGGCTACTTTTGTTCCAGTAAATAATCTTGCACTCTCCCCTCCCCCCAGGAATGGCACTTGAAAGACACACAGTTTAGAAGATGCTTCGAGCAGATCGATTTCCCCTTCCGCGTTTTACTTTCTGAGCCTCATGAAGTGCAATGAACCCTTCTCTATGCTTGCCCAGAAGTGGGGAAGACTTTTTATATGTACAAGCAGAGGTCATTTCGGGGGGGGATCACGGGGGGTCGCAGTTCCCCCGAGTGAGGTATGGGGGGCGGGGCACATGACGAAGCCCCACCCCCCTGCTTCCGGCCACCCCGCCTCCGGCCCTCATTCAGCCAGGAGGAGGCAGGAGAAGAGGGAGGGTAAGTTGCTTCCTCCCTGCCTCTCCCCACCCCTGCCTGCCTGGGGCCAGGGAGGGCCTTCGCGGGGCTTCCTTGCACTCCCGCCGGCCGCAAATGCTAATGCGTTATGCTAATGAGTTCCCCTAGCTCTTTTTCTACGAAACGACCCGTGTACAAGCATTGTGATTAGGAAATGAGCACCTTAAAGCATGCATCCACAGTCCTAACTTTGCCTTTGATTACATGATACAAATGGTCTTCTCCCCCTTCTCAGTTTCAGGGAAGTTTTTGTGTGAATTTCTTCTGCCCCGCACACTATTTAATGTATTTGAGACCTTAAAAACGAAACATTTTCTGGCCTGAGGAAATTAGGATTAGGAAATGCACACCCCACATCTGTAGTCTGTTGTGGCTTCAACAATCCTCCTCCTCCTCCTTTTCTAAGAGCAAAAAGCCTGCTCTGTCCTCGTCAGGTTGCTTTGGGGAATATCTTCTTTAGTGTATGAAACTAATATCCAGCAAACCCCAGCTATGCAAAAATCTGTTATCTGGTCTGCAAGTGGTTCCATTTCATTGCCTTACTGGTAGGCCTGGGATCATCAAGTCTGTGTGGAAGCGATGATGCTGGAATAATTGGTGTGATGGCACCACCAGGTGGGCACATAAAAGATAACAGCACCTGCTCTGAACATTTTAAGTATGACTGAAAAAAACAAGTTGCCACCCTCATTTTGAAGATTACAGCACAGTTTGAGCTGCAGTCTCCTTCTAAATATTTGCACTCTGTGCACACGAATTTCATGCGTGCTTGGATCTGTGATCTGGGACATTAATCCAATACAGATGTCAAATGACAAGCAGAAGATAATCTGTTCAATGCCTCCTTTAAAGCAGATGAAGGCAAACAGTAGAACAGCTCTTCCTAGGATGCTGGGGCAAAGGGAGTATAGTTGCCTCCAAGAAAGCAAGCAAATCAATAAATGCCCTAATTTGAGGATGTTCAAGCAACCCAGTTCTCTTCTCCCTGTCTTGCGTTCATTTAATCCAGAATCTCTCTCGGGCTAAATATCACTGCGTGTTCTACTAAAAAGCCCAGTATGATGAACTTCAATGAAAGCCTGTTTCAAAGGCAAAGCTCTGGAGCAAGGGAATGAAGTGTGTTAGAACCGAGGATGAGTGATTGTCCAGCAAATCCATTTGGTTTGGAGACAGGAATGTGGTTATAATGGCACACTAGCATAACACTGTATTTTGTATGCCAGAATAACAGTGTATTTTGCTCAGCACTCAAGGAACAATTTGATCTCTGGACAGATGTCTGCATTACATCAAAAGGCACTTTCAGAAAGTCAGTGAACTTCCCTCGCCCATCCTAAGGCAAAAACATTATCAATTTATTTATTCAAAAATGTATACACCACTTCTCCTTCTGGCTCAAGATCCAATACATATTTTGGCATCTAATTCACACCAAGCTTCCTTGTACTAATCACCTGTAACTACAGATATGCTGATCAGCTCAACTTGGTAATTTAAGAGATATAATATTGCCTACACATTTCCCTTTAGTCCCACTATCCTTGGCTGTTCAGCCCTTTGCTCAACCATCGACTTCTCTTGCCTTTCTTTTTTTTAGGGAAGGGTGTTTCCTGCTACTCAGAACAATGCCAAGTTTCCTGCAGCCTCTATCACTGGCCTTTCCTTTCCTTAAGGTCATTCTGCCTTCACTTAGGTCATGCCTGCTGCTCACCTTCCTTTAGGTATCTGCCTCCGAGATCTCTTCCCACTTAGCTTTCTAGTACTCACAGCGGCAATCCTAAACTGGACAATCCTAAATCCTTTTGAGTCCACTGCTTTGGACTGTATTATTAGACTTCCTGTCTATCTCTCTCTCTCTCCCTGTATTCTTGTTTCGAGGTTCAGCATACAGTATTTCTGGCCAAGTTCACCTTTCCCTTTCTTTCAAGAAGGTGTGCTAGTGTTAGCATTCTTTTGCTGATGCCATCAGTTTCATGGAAACTCCATCAATGGTTGTGCAAGAGCCACAGGAAAGTTTAGGATTGTGTGCTGTATTATCAACAATAGTGTGTGTGTGTGTGGGGGCTGTGCTGTATTTTTTGCCTGCTATAACTCAGGGATGCAAAATGAGTTTATTGCATGTGCTTCCACGTACCCATCTGTGAGGATGCTTCCTCAGGGACACTGAAAAAGGCATGACATTGTGATACTTCTCTAGGGTGCACCCCCCCCCCTCAACCATCTGTACTGGCCAGACAAGGTATTTTATATTCTAAATGCAGAACGGAATGCTAACATTAGTTATACGGTACTGTGGAATAATATTTTTAAAAGCCCTTCATGAGCACATGAAGAGCTGTTTACATAATTGTATTACATTTATTATTTATAAATTACCAACCTTTGTGTTTCATGAAGGAAGAAGAGGAGGAGGAGATTGGATGTATACCCTGCCCTTCACTACCTGAAGGTGTCTCAGAGTGGCTTACAATTTCCTTTCCCTTCCCCTCCCCACAACAGACATCCTGTGAGGTAGGTGGGGCTGAAAGAGCTCTCCCAAGAACTATCCTTGAGAGAACAGGTCTGAAATAAATTGTGACTGATCCAAGGTCACACCAGCAGCTGCAAGTGAAGAAGTGGGAGGGAAATCAAACCTGGTTCTCCCAGAGTCCACGCTCCTAACCACTACACCAAACTGGCTCTCAGTGATTAAAATCACTTGTTTTATTTTTGCAAACCTACAGATACTAAAGTCTTCTTATTGCAGTTGCAGGGTTTAGTAAGAAGAGGTCTTAGAGAAGTCCACAAAAAAACGCCACACAACATTTTGGAATCAAACCAGGCCACTGTTTTTATTGAATATAGACCAAGGAGCACTGACAAAGCATGGGGCTGGATCCTGGAGAATCAAGCGACCTGCCTGCCGCTCAATCACAACGTCCTGCAACCCGCCTGCTGAGGAAAACCCAGGGGTGACAAATATTATTGGTATCACAAGGAGATGGTGGGTGGGGATCCAACAAGAATCACACTGCCGGACCCTACCAGCAACATGGCTTAAATCACTCCAGGCAGGCTCTACGTCACCGCTTTTCAGCGCCTGCTGAAATTCAAACTGGCCAACTGGGCTGATTCCAGATGACACGGGGCCAGCCAATGTAGTCGCCCAAGGCTCCCGCCTTTGCCGTCCATTAGGCAAAAAGAGCAGGGGGGAGCCTCCTCCAGCCCTCTCCGGCCCGCACACGTAAGTCTTGACCATGTTTAGTTTCATTTCTGTATTGAATTAACTGATTACAGTACTTTTGAAAAAAAATGGGCAAAAAGTAGTAACCCCATCCCCTCCAAACTATGAGCCTTTGGTTTTCCTTATCATCTCTTCCATCACATTCCACTGCTCTTTGGTAACCTAGAGCACAAAAAAGGAATTTTTAGTAGCAGGAATTAAGCATATTCTGAGCGATTGAAATCTTGGCAGGATTGAGTGCAAAGCATCAGATCAATTTTTTACCTTGTGTAGGTCATTGAACTCCCCAGCCATGAAGACATATTCGCCACCATCCATTCTAATGACCTGCAATAGAAATGTACAAGATTACTAGCGGCAAGATTAGTGTTGAGAACCAGGGTGGTACAGTGGTTAGAGTGCTGGACTAAGATTCCAAAGACCCAGGTTCAAATCCCCACTTCTGCCCTGGTAGCTTGCTGGGTAAACTTAGGTCAGTCACACACTCTCAGCCTAACCTACCTCACAGGGTCGTTGTGAGGATAAAATGGAGAAGGGGAGAACAACATAAGCGGCTTGTGTCCCTACCAGGGAGAAATTTAAGGTATAAAGGCAATAAACAAAGAAATATGTTTCCATATTTTAGGACTGCACTGCATGTTCCACTTATCTTAACCCCGGTAACAATTCCAACTGATTTTGTTCAACATCTCTGATACGAATTTTAATCAACAGTGCTAAAAAATTATGATCAAATTAAAAAAAATACCTTTGAAGGGACTAAGTTCTCTATTAAGTAAAACAGAATCCAAGGCATTAGCTGAACTAACATTTGTCCCAAAATATTTCATAACAACTTAAAGAATCTGCATTAGCTCCACTTGGCCTCATGGAAATCATTTCTATTAAGCGACATTGCATGCTCATAACTGGGATGAAATTAATTCCTGCCTTCTAGAATCAGCCAACAGCTGATGCACGTATCAACTAGAGCTAGAACTTACTGCTCCGTTAACCCAGCTCGCATAATCACTGCAGAGATAGGTGGCGAGATTGGCAATTTCTTCTACAGTTCCCAGGCGGCCACAAGGAATCCTCTGAATCATCCCTTTCTCAAATGAGCCAGTTGGGTCAAGACGAGAGAAAGCTCCCTAAGGAAGAAAAATGTTCAGCCGGTCATTGCTTCTGGAACTCCTCTAGAGAGCAGAGGCCCTCTAGAGAACTCCTCTAGAGAACAGAGGCATCATATAGCAGTCAAGGTAAATTCAGCTTAAATGACAGTATATGACACACTTGGGATGGGTGGGATTTATGTGATTCTGGTGCATCTAACAGGCTGAAAAAACCATCACTTAACAGCATTCATGAGCAAAAAATTCAAAAAAAAATCAAAAATTGTTTTGAAAAGACAAAGCAATGTGTGCACAGGAGATACAACTTGATACACTGTTCTAACTGAGCAGAACTTAGCACCACAAATAGGAAGAAAGTAAAATACACAGGAGAAAAGTTGAAGGAGAATTACATCCTCCAAGCTGAAGGAGAATTACATCCTCCAAGCACCACCGACCCATGCAAAAAGGATCCATCCCAGGGGTGGAAGGACCAAGCTTGTAGCTTCCTTCATGGCTTTGGGCTGAAATGTGTGTGTATGAGGGAGGGGATCTGAACTCGGTCACCTCTCATTTTAACCCGGAAGCCTTTGCCAGAGCTTATACCAAGCCAAAGCAGAAAGGGAGCCCCTCGCTTCCTGTCAGCCATGACAATTCTAAGTCCCACCTGGGTAAGGGTTGGTGCCTCTGTGGTAGTCTATGCTGATAGGACATTCCCTGGTGGCATAAAGAAAAGTGAATGACTCTTTGGCTCCACCCATGGTAGGGGTCTGAGATACAGGCAGGAGATTGTTCCTATCCTGATATTTTTCTAAAAGGGTAGGATGTGTCTAACATGGGTAGAATAGGCATCTGGAGTTGGTAATTGGACGTTGTGGGGCCAATAAACTGAAGCTCAATCCAGACAAAGACTGAGGTGCTGCTCATCAATGACAAAGCTGCTTGAGGACTGAGGAATCAGCCTGTTTTGGAGGAGGTTGCACTCCCTGTGAAGAAACAGGTTTTGTATCTTGGAAGCAGGGGTCATTTGGGGCCAGAGCGGGCCGGACCATCGCTCCGGCAGCCCAGGAGTGAGCACAAATGGCCGTGGCGGCAAGCCCCACCCCCACGTGGAGGGACTAGGAGGGAGGAATTCCCCAGGCTACCCGTGGGGGCCAAGCCAGCTGGCTGAGTGCTCTCTGGCCTGGACGTGGCGCCTCCCTTGGGCAGAGGTGAGAGACTCAGGACCAGAGCTTCCCGCCACCCGCACCCCGCTGGGCCCCCACGGCCTGTGCAGCGGCCGGGCACACCCCCGGCAGCTACCCTCCCGTCGCCAAAACAGATTCCCATGGGCTAGCCCCCCCGGGTGCTGGAGCGCTAAAGCTGCCCCCCTGCCCTGGGGCCAGACCCCACGCCACCGCTGCCTCCTCTCGTGGTGAGTCCCACTGCGCCTCTGGCATGAGCTTCCCGCGGCCCCTGTGCCGCTCCGTCAGCCTGCGCTCAGCCCGGACCCTCCGCCTGGTGGTGGTGGGACAGAGCGCTGTCAGCAAAACAGGTACTGGGCACCGATCAGAGGGACCAAGCGAGGGAAGGAAGGAAAGGCGGGCTCTTTGGCCACCCGGTCGCCGCTTCCCAGGCCCCAAAGCACACCTCCCCCCACTTCCCTTTCTCCACATGCCTCCTTCCTCCCTTGGCCCCGGCGGAGACGCTCCATGGTGGACGGGGCTCCCAGGCGACATACCTACCTCCCAGGCCTGCCGTAAGTGGGCACCCTCTGTTGTAGCCAAGCCCCTTTGCACCTCCCCAGCCACTTCTTTCACCTCCAGCGCACCTGCCCCTGCCTCCTTCCCCCCTCCCTCCAGCCCATGACTGGGTTGCCAGCAGTTGTGAGAATGCAGCCTTGGCCTTGCTAGTTCCCATGGCCTGCAGGAACGGCAGCAGCAGAAGCATCAGCTGCAGGGTCAGAGCCCCAAGTGTCGTGCTTGCGCCCCGTTCCTTGGGCTGTGCCTATAAGGCAGGGCCGAGCAGGTGGAAGGATGGGAAATGCTCCTCCATTGCCCTGGCTCCCAGGAAAAGCGGCAGCAGAACTTTCTGACTCATGGTCACGGACTCACAGGTGGTGGTGGTGGGGAACAGTGGCTGGGCCAGTTGTCGTCGCTCAGCCGAGTTGCCAGCTCCCCGGACTCAGCCGCCTTTCTGCAAAGCACGGCCTGGGACAATGCACTCCAAACTGATGACCCTACAGCGCCAAGTACCTAGCAGACTGACTCAGTGTCCCATGGCAGACAGTATGGAACAGGCCTGGGGGGAGAGGTGCGTCCTTGGGCTCCTGCGAGGGAAGGAAGGGCCGCCCTGAAGAGCCCAAGCATAGAGTAGGGTAGGAGGTAGGGGTGCCCCATGACTTATTTCAAAGCCCCCCCGAGTACAAAAATCCTGGCAATGGGCCTGGCTGAAGTTGGATGATATCGAGGAATTCGAGGGTGCCAAGGAGCTCGAGGTAAAAGGCGTTGTGGATAAACGTGTGTTAGAATTGCCAACAGAGGCTTAATATGTGGAAATTGGGAGGTTTTTGTGAGAAGGCAAATAATACCCTGTTAAGCTTGTACTAAAGGGGCAGGGTACTTTTTCTCAAGTCAGTTAGTAGCCCTAATGTGAGTTGCTTGGAGACAGCGCTCTCGAGCATGTGCAAAGCACCCAAAGAGACCAGCGTGAATCCTTTTGCATGCAAAGCGGACTCTCTGCTAATGAGCCACAGCCTCGCTGTTGCATGAACCAAATAAAACAGGAAGCTGATGCTGGAATAAATTTTGTTGGTCTTTAAGGTGCCACTTGACTCCTGTCTTTCTTTGTATAGAAAAATGTTTTGCTGCTTCTCCCAGGGACCTACTCAAGGCAAGTTTTATTTTCCTGCTAAAGACTAATGTGTCTGCCCATCTGGCATTAATGAATTGTTTCGGCTTATATTCCACCCTCCCTGCAAACAGGTTCAGAGTGGATGACAGCAAAAGTTAAAACATTTCACAGATGGTTTTATCATGATGAGTTGGTTCTTCTTTTACTGACCTCATCATCTGGATGACAGTCCGGAGTTATAAGTACATTGATTTTATTCCATGTCTCTTAAGACCATTTGTTGAAAAACTTTGGACAACTTGACTGTATTAGAGTTTCCTTTGAAACTTACTTGGGCATGTTTCTTGAAGCATTTGTGGTGTTGTTCTTTTTTCCTTTTTGTTTTTTAATTTTTGTTAACCACAACAGGTTTTAAGTACTGAATATGTCAGGCAATGTGCGAGTTGTGCAAAGAGAGCAGAGTGCCATCCTGCACACTGCTGTCTCTGCATTACTGGCTGACATGAAGCTGCATTTGACTAAGTAAGACCCTTGGTCTGTCAGGGTCTGGATTGTCTCCTCTGAATGGCAGTGGGTCTCCAGGATTTCAGGGAAAGGTATTTTGCATCACCTCCTACCTGATCCTTCTAACTGATGGTGCCAGGGATTGAACCTGGGGCCTTCTGCATGCAAAGCAGATACTCTGTCATGGAGCTATGGCCTCTTCCTTAAAGAGGTTCAACAAAAGACTTAAAATTTCCAGGGGTGGAGCCTGAGCGGTGGGTGTTGCCTTCTGACACACTTCCGGTGATGTCAGGGGGTGTGGCATATGCAAATAAGTTATGTTAATGAACTCCTGCACCTCTTTTTCTACAAAATGACCCCTGCTTGGAAGTATTACTGGATTCTGGCCTACAATTGGAGGCCCAGATCTTTTGTGTGGCACACAGTGACTTTTATTAGCTTTGGCTGATACGCCAGCTGTGCTTGCTCCTCCAAAAAGCTATCTGGCCACAGTGATCCGTACTGTTTTCATCCATGTTAGATTACTATAATGTGCTTTATGTGGGGCTGCCTTTGGAAACACTCTGGAAACTTCCGCTTGTTTAAAATGTAGGAGCCAGGCTATTGTCCGAGGTAAAATACACAGATCGCATCATTCCAGTGCCGGAAGATCTGCAATGCCTGTATGGTTCCAGGCACAATTCAAAATGCTGGTGCTTACCTTTAAAGCCTTAAATGTCTTGGGGCCAGAGCCCTTGAAGAACCAGCACCTCCCATACTGTTCAGTCTGCTGGTTAAGGTCTGCCTCACAAGCCCTGCTGTCTGTGGCCCGACCTTCAGAAGTGAGGTGGGTGGCAGTCAGAGACAGGGCTGTTTTCATAGTGGCACCTCACTTAGTGAATGCTCTTTCTCATGGGGGTCACCAGACACCTAAGTTGCTTTCTTTTAGGTGCCAGGCCAGAATGCTTTTGTTCACCCAGGCTTTTACTCAAGGGGTTGAACTTTTAACACTATTTTAACCTGGAAACTGTCACTTCAAGCGGTCACTAGTCTGTTTTATGGTGTATGTTTTTATGCGGTCCTGTGTTTTTCAATGTTAGATTTTAATTAATATCTTTCAATCTTTTTGTTTTCATTATTTTTATATTGTTTTTATTATTTTTATAAACTGCCTCGGGGAGGTTCCTGGAGAGGTGACATAAAAATTCTCTTTACATTTGGCCACAAAAACGGGAGAGGAAATTCTGAAGATATGTGTTTAGAAAAAGCCATTAATTTAAACGGATCTGAGCTGTGACCAAGTGTCATCATATTTAGGCCTGTACAGCCAGTCTCGGAAGTGAATAATGTGTGCTGCTTCACGGAGTGCAGTATGATACCAGCAAAACTGATGGCAAAGCTAGTTCATTAAATCTGCCTTTGTCTTTAATAATAGCCCAGCCTATCCTGATCTCGTCAGATCTCCGAAGCTAAGCAGGGCCAGCCCTGGCTAGTATTTGGATGGGTGACCTCCAAAGAATACCAGGGGCGCGACGCAGAAGCAGAAAGTGGCAAACCACCTTTAAATGTCTCTTGCCTTGAAAACAAATCTAGTTCGCCATCTAGTGGCACATAATGCTAAAAGAACTTGAACTTCTGGCTGCCAGACAATCTTAGGATCTTCTGGCTATACTACACACACTGCCATAAGATTATTATTATTATTTACCTTTGTCTTTATTGGGCCTGGTTGGATTATGTTGAATCTCAAGCCGTATCTACCCCATTCAGCTGCAAGAGACCTACAAATTCATCAACAGACTTGGTAAATATTCAGCATGAACAGAGGGCAGATAAAACTAGAGAAAACAGGGTTTTTTGTGGGGTTTTTTTTTTAAGTTTTTGGGTTTATGCATAGTTTTCTTTTCACTTGTGGCTGCTGCCCCCTAGAAACATTGATAGATTTGATGTTTGTTTAGTTATGTGCAAATCTTCTCTGTTTTCCCCACCTCATTCCTTGCATGCATGAAGTCCTCTACCAAAATTCTACCAGTTGGAGAGTAATGGTTACTGACAATAACTCTTTCCAGGTGTTATGCTTCTGGGACTCCTATCACATATAACTAACGTGAGCTGTGCTATGTGTAATCTCAGTACACGAAACAGCCATTTTATCTGAAAAGGGGAACACATACCTTTGTAGCTTCGGTGTGCCTATACGTGTATCCCCCCAAATTCTGGTTTTCAAGTAGCATGTACTGAAACTGAAAATATGTGTTTTGCCCCTTTTCAGACAAAACAGTGGCCATACAGACTGGGTTGATTGCACGTAAAGCACTATCCCAGCACCCATAATAAGCAAAGTGTGCATGCACATGAAGAAGAATGTGCATGCACACGAAAGCTTATACTATGAATAAAATTTGGTGCCTCTACCTCAAAAAACAGACCTCCATATACCTCTGGATAGACTCCATATTATAGCCTATGGGGATCACTGACCATAATGGTCCCTGTAGGCTATAATGGAGTCAAAGGCATTTAAAGATGTTGCAGTCCCTTCAAATGTGTTTGTGAAGCTGCAGCTTCACTTGGAATAGCATTTAAAGGGAGTGCACTCTCTTTAAATGCTGCTTAACTATGGCTATCCTGTTTACCTGGGTGATCCCGAATTGGCTATTTTCAATAGCTTAAAATACACCCCCCTCTATATCCAGCTGAAAGAACAGCCAATAAGGTATTTTCTGGCTATTTTTCCAGCTTGGATAGAGCTGAATCACACCCCTAGTTGTCATATATATGTGATCATATGTTGTCATATATAAATGCAAAAATATAGAAGCTGTAATGATGTACAAAACACTTATAATCTCACAATAATGATACAAAAATAAACAGTCAAATTGAAAAATATTAATTCCCAACAGGTATCAGAAAGATGGACGAACTTCTCTGGAGTTTTGGCATTCGTTTCGTGAAGAACTTCTTCCAAACATCAAGATGTGCTATACAAAACATAATATACAAATGATATACAAAATGTGTACCATTGCACAGGCAGTGTCTAGGCAATAAATATCTCACCCTGAAGATTTTAAATTTCTGGTATTGGATAGTTTATGTAAGAACATGTTCAACATATAGGGTAAGCATGTTAATATTGTTGTAAATTTTAAAATATAAAATATTTAATAATGATTGAAGGTTATAATAATTGCTATTTTCATTTTAGATATTAGTATCTTTGTATTGGATTTACACATTACGGAATACGAAGCAACACTATATATAATTGTATTGGATTTACACATTACGGAATACGAAGCAACACTATATATAACAAGCTTTATACAAATATTTATTGCCCAGACACTGCCTGTACAATGGTACACATTTTGTATATCATGTTGTATATTATGTTTTGTATAGCACATCTTGATGTTTGGAAGAAGTTCTTCACGAAACGAATGCCTAAACTCTGGAGAAGTTCGTCCATCTTTCTGATACCTGTTGGGAATTAATATTTTTCAATTTGACTGTTTATTTTTGTATCATTACTATGAGATTATAACCGTTTTGTACATCATTATAGCTTCTATATTTCTGGTTTTCTACACTAGCTGTAACCCCTCAGTTTTGTTGGTCATATATAAATGAACTGCAAGCATCCTTTGAGATTAACCAGTCCATTGGAATGTGAGTAAATCACATGTTAACCCTAGCCTGGATTGTAATGACTGAGAGGGCTGACATACATTACTCACTTGCACAGTGCTTCTACGCCTGCTTTGGCAGAGGCGCTTGGTGATACAAATCCAGACCCGCTTTCTGCATAGATAGTTGTAATGGCTAGGAATGCTGCCCCTGAAAGAGGCAGGAAGACAAACATCAAGTACCTGCTGCATCCCTTACCCTACGGTTGACCTCCCCAGTCTGATTGTTCTCACTGAAACAGGAAATTAGGAGTGTTTATAATTCAGACCCTAAAAAACAAAACAAGATCTAACAGAAAATGGCATCACTGTTTGAAGATGGACCCTCTGCATCCTTTACACCCATGTAAGAAGCCTTCCTCCAGTGCAACAGGTAGAGAAGAGATTTCCATGGCTTCTTCTTCCTGCTGTTGTCTTTCTGGCTTTTTATCCACATGAATCCCCCAATCCATGGCTTCTGTTTATTGGCACTCACAGGTAGGAGCTGGGGGAAGGGGAGGAGGAAAGGAGAACAAGCCACCTCTGCTAGTACCTTTCACTGATGCTGCACGGAATCTAACCCCATATAATTATATCATATATGTTTTCTTTTGCAACCAGGGATTCATTTGCCATCTTGCTGAACAATGGGCTCAATCTCAGGTCTTTATTTGCAACACCGTCTTAATTGCACAATATGCAATTTCACTGTACGCAGTTTATAAGTAGGCTACCACGTGTATGCGGTGATTAAAAAGCTAATCAGTTTCCAGGTTTGCTTTTCACATTGCCAGTAATAACTCCACAAGGAACAGTAACTCCAAAGCTTGCATAATGTCCTCAGCCAATGGCTACCAAAATGATTCAGAAACAAAATAAGTGTAGTCTGTTTCCCACAGTTGTATCCAGCTTTGACTTAGTGCTTAAGTAACTATCGCTAAAGTGGCACAAACCCCATCCAAGGCTTCTGTCATGTTAAGTGATGGGGTTCCTGTACTACTTTGAAGGATTTGCAGAAACACAACACCTCATAAAGGCCCAAACTGGGACTTAATCCAAGTGCAGGGATGGCCGACATGGAGGCTGCCAAAAAATTCATATAGGTAATATGCAGGCAGTGTTCCATTTAGGAGGCTCCAGAGATATAGAGAACAGGATGCTTCATGGATGAGCCAGTGCACAAGCTAAGGACAGCCCTTTATGGCTCCTCTGCAGTGTTGCTCTTTCTTTCAAGGCTAGAACAGCTAGATTTGAGTCCAGTGGCACCAGAGAGACCAAGAAAATTATTGGGTTATACGCTTTCAAGAGCCAAAGCTCCCTTCACTGTATCTTGAAAGCTTATATCCCAAAACTCTTTTTTTTTGACAGTTTTTATTAGTATAATTTCAACAACATACACACATACGGATCCTTCAAAAAGTACATTATTAATTGCTCTGGCCAAAAACATAATATACCCAACATATTTTAACTATTTAACACAACTGTATTATTTTTCTCCAGCCACGTATAAAATTTTAACCAAATATTCTTAAAAGCATCATCCTCTCTCCCTTGTAACCTCATTGTCAAATTGTCCAATTCTGCTATTTCTGTAAATTTCATTATAAGATCCTTCGTTGATGGAATAGTTTCCTGTTTACAATATTTTGCCAAGATCATTCTTGCTGCAGTGAGCAAGTGACTAATCAGATGTTCATCTATTTTATCTAAATTATCAGGCATTATGTTTAATAAGAATATCTCAGGAGCATAAGGAATTGACCTATTGAGTATTTGTACAATGATACTATGCAGTTCTTTCCAAAACTTTTGAATTTTAGTACATGTCCACCAGGCATGAAAATAAGTACCTTTCTCGGTTTTACACTTCCCAAAACTCTTGTTGGTCTCTAAGGTGCCTGAATCTAGCTCTTCTACTGCAGACCAATATGGCAACCCTCTGAAATGGTTTTTAAGGCTAGGGCTCTGAAGAGGCAGCTCTCTCAAGGTCTTTGGCTCTTTAGGCTCGTGTTTAACAATAATGAAATCCACCATTTAAAATAGCTTTGAGGTCCCAATAAAAAGCAGCCAAACAGGCTCAGACAGCGATTGCTGCCCAGCCTGCAACGAAAGTTATGTCTGCATGAATTACACTTGCCTTTTTGTGCTTTAATCAGTTCTTTTCCTATTTCCAGAGTTACATAGGCTGTCCCGTTAAGGACGATATCAGTGATTGTCTTCCATGCATTTGCAGAAAGGCGTTCAGAAGGAGAAATAAAGTTTCCAGCTGCGTTATTTATAATAACCTGAAATGGAGAAAGAAAGCTTAAATTCATACTGAAATTGGGGCCCGGCACATTTATGAAACTTGACAGCATTCTGAGATTCCAGAAGACAAATGCCATTTATCAAGTGCAGCTTCTCCAAAAACACACCACCACCCATGTTGAGAAAACAGAAGCATAAAATCTTTCAAGTAATAATGTTTGTTTCTTGAGACTGTTTAGTACCTATTGCATGCCCATTGCAACATGTGAACAAAGCAGTCATACAAGTCGGTTGTAAGTAAGCCACAATATACTTCTTTGTATTGAATTCTGTGCTTGTTCTGCTTGAATGAAATTTCACCCCAGTTCTGCCCTCTTCCTGTAGGTCCCCCATTCTTTTCCTGTGGCCAACCCACAAGAGCAAGATTTGGGGGAGGCCACAGAAGGAAGGAGGAGAAGGGAACATTCTATTCCATGAGCGCAAATATTCTCACATTGCACAATATGCAACCCTCTATATCCCCTTCCAGAAATTTGGTTTTATGGCCGTTTTCAGTTGCTGTGAACATGACAGTGAAGACTATGTTTAAAAATGTAACATAATATAGCACTTTTTCTAAATGTTTGCTTTTCTAACGTTATAGAATTGTTTTCAATACAACACAAGTTATTTCCAGTAATGATTAATCAAATCCTTGCTTTACAAGTAGAATACTCACACTGGGATGTCCAGCCTCTTTAATTAACTGTGAAACTGCATTGCTAACAGAATTTGGGTCCCTCACATCACACTGAACTGCATGAACCTGTGCAAAGACAGAGCATCAATGTCACTACCAGCAACAATAACAAAAACAAAAAGCAGTAAAAAGCCCAGACCTGGATAGCCCAGGCAAGCCCAAATTCGTCAGATCATGGAAGCTAAGCAGGGCTGACCCTGGCAAGTATTTGAATGGGCAACCTCTAAAGAATACCAGGGCTGGGAGGCAGAGGCAGACTATCAAGCCACTTCTCTGAACTTCCTTCATGCCCCTGTAGGAGTCGCCAGAGGTCGCATGACTTCCAGGCACAGGCACACACATACAGACACAAATGCAAAAATACATATATATGTATGTATATTAAAAACAAACAAAAAGCAGTAAATAAAACTTCTAAAACATCTGAGGAGCTCAAAGTACATTCTTGCATACATAAAATTCCTAGATTTAAAGATCATGCTGAATATCAGGAACAATTGGTAAGCAAATACCTTATTTCCAGTTTTAGAAGAAATTTCTTCTGCAGTTTGTTTCAATACATCAAGTTTCCTACAAAAAAAAGGGCACACGTCATGCGCTTATGTATCACGTTTTGATCTAATGTAAGACGTTTGAAGATTTTGCACCTACAAACAACAAATAAGTTGTTTTATAACAAAAATGCTTAGCTGATCCTTGGTTTAGTTCCTTGTGAGTGGAATTACAATGTCCGTTTATAACACGGTAATCCAGTATTGCACTTCTATTGATCTCATCAAAGTGGCTTAAAAAAAAGACATCCCCTTCTGAGGCAGAGGAACCTCATTAATCAGGTTTTTTTTTTAAAGACTAAAACAAAACTGCACAAACTCCAACTGTAACATTTAAGACAGCACATGAAAATGGGAATTCAAGCAGGCATAGAACAAAATACCACATAAACTAGAACATCTGCAAAGGGAGAAAAAGAATTTTTACAGGTATCACCCCAACTACTCTGAAAAAAGGCAATACAAAAGAGAAGCCAACAAATTCTCCCTTATGTTAGTAAATGGAAGAATAAAGGAGCTGATGCTGCCTGCACTGAAATTTCCTCCATGATAACTGTAAAATTTGAATAAGGATAATTTAGGAGATGCCAGGATATTTTCTACCAGCTCTAGTTCCATCTGTCTCTGCCGCTCCATCTCCATGGATGGATAGAACATGTCTGAGTCATGGCTGTCAAAGTTTCTGGTCCATCAGATCGAAAAAATGAGTTATCCTGAGCCAGAGTTATTTATTTATTTATAAATTCAATTTATAGCCCGCCCTCCCCGCAAACGCGGGCTCAGGGCGGCTCACAAATAGGCATAAGCCAACACATAAAACATGTTAAAACCATATAAAATAATTACTACAATATTACAATGCAATAAGTGCTCTAGATGTTCCAGAATGATCTTCCATAAAGATGACGTCTCAAAGATGGTACACCCAATCAATGCTGTCAGTTCCATGTGACACTGTCGGTCTCTCTTCCCAGGGCCAGATGCTCATGATGGTAACGTAATGATGGTACAATGATAGAACGCCTGGCGGAAGAGCTCCATCTTGCAAGTCCTGCGGAACTGTGCAAGGTCCCCCAGGGCCCGGATCTCCTCCGGGAGCTCGTTCCACCAGGTAAGAGCCGCCACCGAAAAAGCTCTGGCCCTGGTAGCAGCCAGCCTGGTCTCCTTGGGGCCTGGCATCGTCAGGAGATGCCTCACTCAGATGCCTCACTTTGCTTAGCACTTTTCCCAATAGGAAGATACATGGAAATGCAAATAGCAAGCTGCTGGATCATTGCATTGACAGAGAATACATTACCACTAGTTTTCAGGAACTGATAAACATCTCAGATCACCCCCTGGCAATCTGCTTGGAGGTGACCACGCTAACAGTTGGCAGGTCCCTCGATCTACTACTACCTGCTAGAATGCACGGGATGGATTAACCACTCCTTCAGCACTTTTCCCGCTAAACCCTTCTAGAAGCCTTTCACCAATTCTGCCAAAATGGATGCCACCTTGGCTTCACACCCTTCTGGCAGCTGATGTACATCTTGTTGATAACGTTTTGTATGTGAATCAGAAACTGCTTGTCCTACAGAATGTGTGCAGTGGTGAATTGCTAACCCTGACACTCTGGGTTGAGTCAGTTTTGCAAGATGTTTTGGCTGCTGACCACTAATCTGGGAAGGACCACCAATCACAAAGATTGTTGAAACCAGAGTTCCCTCTAAGCCAAGTTAGCTCATAGTTTTTTAGCCTCTGGCTCACACATTTTTGTCTTACCACAGGAAGGATGGCTCCAGAGCAAACTAATTTATGCAGTAGCCAAACTGCTCACTCATAACTTTAATGCCAGCAGCTCACAAAGTAGAATTTTTGCCCACAAGACTCCACATCTTAGAGGGAGCATTGGCTGGAACTACAGAAAACAATGAGGCATATCAGAGATAAGTTGCTGAAATTGTGGAGCCCTTACTCTCATCCTCCTGAGAGCCAGTTTGGTTTAATGGTTAAGTGCACAGATTCCAATCTGGAACGGGTTTGATTCCCCACACCTCCACATGCAGCTGTTGGGTGACCTTGGGTCAATTACAAGTTCTTTCAGAGCTGTTCTCTCAAGGGCAGTTCTCTTTCAGTCCCACCTACCTCACAGGGTGTATGTTGTGGGGAGAGGAAAGGAAGGAGATTGTAAACCGCTCTGAGACTCCAAGTGAAGGGCAGGGTATAAATCCAGTCTCTTCTTCTTCTACTGACTGAGGCCATTCGCCTCTACTGACCCGGGGGGGGGGGGGATGACCTAACAGCCCAGCTTGCAATCTTTATTACTGGAAGGGAGCAAGAGTCCAGAAGCACCTTAATGACTAATAAAACTTATGGCAGGGCACGAGCTTTCACAAGTCATTGCTCACTTCTTCAGGCACAGCAAGAATGTGAGTCCATCTGTCCTTTTGTCTTGGAGAGTGAAGTGATTTCAGATGCCAAATGACAATAGCAAGCATTGGCAATGAGAGAAGAAACCTAGGTTTCAATTCAGTCCAGGAGGATGCACTGTCTTGAGCTTCATTATCAGTTGCAATTCAGCAGTCTCTCTAATCTCCCTCTGAAATTCCTTCGTAAGAGAACTTGTACTCTTAGATCAGCAACTGAATGTCCTGGAAGATTAAAATATTCCCCCACTGGTTTTTGAATCCTGTGGTTTCTAATAAAAGTAAAAAGAGTAAGAGGGCAGTAGCACCTTAAGGACTGACAAAATTTGTGGTAGGGTATGAGCTTTCAGGAGTCATTGCTCACTTCTTCAGACTTATTTCCATTTATTCTTTGCATCCTCCTGGACTGAATCCTCCTGGACCAAACTGAGACCAAGGTTTCTTGTCTCATTACCAATGCCAATATCTCCATGCCTTCTACCCCTCTGCATATCACACCTAGAGATGTAAAATTTCTGGAAATTTTGAAGCTCGGGAAAACCTAAAATAATCTTTATAAAGTTTGTATCTCTGGTACCTTGTGTTACATTTTATGGCTCATGAGGCCTGGCCCAACAAAGTGACATTTATGTCAGATCTGGCCCTCATGACAAATGAGTTCGACACCTCTGGGTTAACCCATTGCTGCCTGCTCTCCAGTCCCATGACCCAGAGTTAGCTGGATTCAAAAATCACATGACTAGTTTGCACATGCCCAGTAGTATTTTTGATGCTCTTCCAAACAGCATCTTTCCCCATATCATTCCCCATTTATTTTGAACTGAGGGAAGATTCTAAACCAGAGTTAGATATGCAATAGGGGAGAGAGAATCTACTGAACATACCGAGAATAGTTATTAGCCTGTATGTCTTGTCTCTAAACACTGGGTTGGATCAAGCCAGCTTTCCTGCTGGTGAAAAAGGTAGAAGAAGGTCCTACTGTGACTACCACCATAACTAGGGATCATAGGACCTGCAATGGATAAAAGCCATGTCCAACGAGGGGTGGAAAGAAATTAGGTGAGACTGAGAGAAAAAGCTGGCCAGGTCCAGTCCACTGTTCTGATATGATGAACTACTAGCCTAAACAAGAGCTATTTTAGTATTACCTAGCAAAAATAATCATTAAAACAAAATTATATTTGGAATAAAACTAGGACATTTAAAAAGCACTGTCAGAACAGTAAAAATCAAACACACTGCATGTATAACCTGAAATGGAGAAATCAGTCAACCACACTCTGAATTCAAAGCCTGGGCTATTTCTGGGGGTTTCAAGAAAGGTTAAAAATTACCTTTGCCCATTCAGGCTTCTACTCCCTAGTCCAGTGAAAATGCCATCAGTTCAAAGTTTATTTGACGTAGCAGCCAAGCAAATTACACTTCACATAAGCTGTAGATATCTCAAACATTGTGTGCAATACGCTAGCATCATCAAGTGACCCAGCCTATACACCAAAAAATTAAGAAGAACTGAATATACAGAATCAGAATAAAAACAACTCTACATCTTTATACCATGTTACAAAACTAGACTTGATTTTCATTGCAAAGTGAGTGTCTATAAAACGGAATTTACCGGCTTGCTATAACACATTCTGCTCCCAATTGAGAAAGAACAGTTGTAATTCCTTTGCCAATGCCTGTACCTCCACCTGTGATAAAGGCCACTTTCCCTTCAAAAGCATTTGGTGGCAACATTACTTTCTGAAGGGGTGAAAAGAAGGCAGCCCGAGGAGTATCGCTTTGATACATCACTTTTGTTCCATGGCTCAAAAGCTGAAAAGGAAAATATACATAGTGCTGATTATGTCTTATCTTGTATAGCATAGAAGCAATTTTCAACTACAGGACTACTAGAGACATAAAAAAATACTTCATAACCAACAAAGCAGGAAATAGATTCAGGTGGGTAAGCCGTGTTGGTCTGAAGCACCAGAACAAAGTTTGAGTCCAGTGGCACCTTTAAGATCGAAAAAGTTTTATTCCGGGGTATAAGCTTTTGTGTGCATGCACAATACCTGAAGAAGCATGCATGCACACGAAAGATTATTTTCGATCTTAAAGGTGCCACTGGACTCAAACTTTGTAAAGCAGGAAACAGTCTTATTTTCATGCACACATTAGAAATATAACTTTTGGCAACCCCATTTTTGTTAACAAATCTTTTGGAATTTCTGACTTGTTTTCCTTTGAACAGTTTCACCCTCTTGCCTCAAGCATGCCCTATCACAAACTGCATTTAACACTCTTATCAGCCCGTTATGAAGTTCAGCAGAGTAGGGCCTTTTGTTGTTCAGTCGCACAGTCGAGTCCGACTCTTCGCGACCCCAAGTGTGATCCCCTGGAGAAGGTAATGGCAACCCACTCCAGTATCTTTGCCAAGAAAACCCCATGGACAGTATCAAAAGAGTAGGGCCACTGTTCCAAAAAACCTTAAGACTAAAGTTGCCTTGGGCTTAAAATTGGTTTCATGGTTATTTGGCTGATCATCAAATATATTTAGGATTAGGGATGCAACATAGACTGTGAAGTATACCAATGTAGCAAGTATTTTCACTTGTTTTATATGTATATAATCTCATGAAAGCTGAGTTTCCTAACTTAATATGAACAACAAAACAAACAAGTTTGAGCAGGCAGCAAGGGAAGCTTTCGAAATGCCAGGGACTACAAAGGTTTTTCAGTTATGAATTGTCAGAATGCTTTTTCAGTCAAAGCTCTACCTCTTCAAAGTTTAACTGCAATGCAAAGCTGCACTTTGGACAAGAAGCTCTATCTGCATATGAATAGCTGGAGTTAACAACTGCCGCTCTGAATGCATAAAGTGAATATTTAGCCCAAACGTTTATTGTGGTTTATGGTACTGCAATTACAGAATACAAGGTATATATTGTACACTCATTAAATTAATGGTGGTGCCATTTAGGCCAATTTAATAAGAAACTTTCCAGACATTTTAAAAAGATTTTCTCTGAAGGCTAAAATGAAGCTTTGAGTCTGGACAAAGAAAGACTGTGTACTTTGCCAGTGAAGGAATGTTTGTACTGAACAGGAAAGGGGAGATATGAGACCGAATTAAAATAGGAAGGCTGAAAATATTGAGAAAGGCCAACATGAGTATCACTCGGGATCAGCAAAGCTGCTTGATTGCTAATATTTGCCAAAATTTTGATGAAAAGAATTCTGATGAACTCCAAGAGTATGACTTTATGGATTTAAAGTTTAACTCTTAAGATAAAGCAAAGCAATACAGGATTAAATGGTAACTGAGCAGGTTAGTGGAAGAGGATGAAGTTCAAAATTGCTTCATAATCAGAGAATACTATATGGGGGAAAGGTGAAGTTACAGATCTGAAGGGGATCTACAAGGAAAGCTTCAGACAGAGGTCTATTTTCTTGGTGGTTGACAAGCACTAATCCAATGCACTTGACCTCCTCAAACCCAGACACCTCCCCAATGGCAAATTCCTCCCGGATTATGCTCCAATTGACCCTTACAACTTGGTACCTCTACCCACCATCTTCACACACTTGTGGCAAATGATCCTGGGAGCTACGTATAATCTCGGCAGTACCGAGGAATCTGTGTACTGCTTTCTGAAAGAAACAGAACTACCAAATAATACTACACAATTCTGTGAAGTGATCTGCAGTCTTGATTGTACAAATATTCTCACACCACGATGACAACGCTTTTTAAGAAACTAATCTTTTTACTGATGACAGAGAACAACATGCTCAACATTATAAGCCCCTGGAAACAGTGATTCTTGAACCCATTTCCGCATCCTACACAAGGGACCACACTGGGGGCAGAAGAACTACTCTTGTTTTCTGTTTTTAACTTACTTTATTTATAGCCAGCCCTTTTTTTCTGAGAGTGAAGATGGATTACACAGTATAAGACAATGGAAATATGGCTCAAGGGCACCATACAGTGGCCACTAAGTTTTCTAGTGCCTGTTTGCTTCCTGAGTTTTGGAGATAAAATCCAACAGTGTTTTTCAGTTCCATTCAGGACTCTTTGAAATTTATCCCTGAGATTCTAACTACACTCAGATTTGTTGCTGTGTAAGGTGTGCAACAGTCCTATAAAGTCACATATTGCATAAAGCTGTTGTTAAGAAGAGATTGGGGTTATACCCCACCCTTCACTACCCAAAGGAGTCTCAGAGGGGTTTACAATCTCCTTTCCCTTCCCCTCCTCACAACAGACACCTTGTGAGGTAGGTGGGGCTGAGAGAGCTCTCTCGAGAACTGCCCTTGAGAGAACATCTCTGAATGAACTTGTAACTGACCCAAGGTCATACCAGCAGCTGCATGTGGAGGAGTGGGGAATCAAAACCAGTTCTTGAAGATCATTGGCCACGCTCCTAATCACTACACTAAACTGGCTCTCGTTTAGCATAAAGCTGTTACTTGACACTTGGCAAAAAGGGAAGAATGATAAAGTTTCCATGAGGAGAAACAGCAAATTACATCCTGGTGTATGCATGGTTCAACACAATGGGAAAAAATTAACAAGGTCTCTGTAGGCAAGTGAGGTACCTTATATTCTGTGAGAATTCAGATGGATCTAAACACACCGCAGAATTCTAAAGAACAGGCTGTGTGTCAAAGAGTATATATTCCCCTAACACACTGATAACTTCAGAACTAGCACGGTTATACTTTTGCATAGATTTTCGTGGAGTACAGCCCAGTTCTCAGCTGAAACTTCATATATCTGATTGTGTCTAGTCCGAAAAAGCATACACTAGAGGAAAAACTTATTCACCTTTAAGGCGCTGTGAAATCAGTGGGTTGAGACTCGAATGCACTATAATCAGAGCAATTTAACAATTAGCACAGCTAGAAGAGTGTTAGTTAGGGTTAGTTTTATAAGTTCCTTCCGGGGGGGGGGGGAGGAGAAAACGACATGAGAATGCTAACCCTTTGCAGTTTAAAGATGCACAGACCACCGTCTTACTGGGCTGCATACAGATACAGTCCACTTCGGACATAAGCGTCAAAAGAGAGAATGCGTTGCAGTCTGCACGACACACACACTCTACACGGATGTTTCTGAAGTTATACTCCTCCTCTTGCTGACTATGAATGCATGAAGCGTCAAGGCACGGTCGTGAGAACCTTACCCGTGTGGTAGTGGCCGAAAAAAACTGCGGAAACAATTTCATCCACGACCCGCTCCTCACTCCCAGAGCCGCCGCCATGTTTTGCCGGAGAGGGGCCAAAAAAGGGGATGTGTGCAGATTCCTAAACAGGCCCTACTCTGTGTACAAAAGGGTCGGTATTGGGCGGAGCCATTTGATGGTCTCATGAAGACACGCCTACTCAGAATTCCACCGTGAACGAGTGCAAACGGGCAATGCCTTCTTCCTCGGTTATTGTCGTCATTGTGTGGCGGCTGGATTTCTCGGTTACTTTTAATGCTCTCATCCCCGCTTGCAGCCGGGTAAAAGCAGCCGCTGCCCAATCCAGGTTTTTAGCCTGGCTATGACTGGCTTTCGAGCAAGGGAACCTTTACCTTTTTATGCTATACAACATATTAAGACAGATTTAATGTGCCTTTCGAGCAAGGGGACCTTTACCTTCACACGCTATACAACACATTAAAGACAGATTTCATGTGTCCTTTCTAAACCACGTCTTATTACTTAATTCGTGTGGAAAATATGACTTTCTGAAGTTTTAAAGCATTGCAACACCTGACATTTCAGCCATGGCAACTTACTCGTTTCCCCCTCTCCCCCGTCCTTTCCCTCCTCTCCCTTTCAGTAGGTGGGAAACGAAACCGGAAGCCAGGCAGTGTCTTGTGTCTCGATGGTCACGGGGGCGCCAGAAGGGTAAATGGCGCATGCGCGCTGGAGACGAAGACGAGGAAGACGGCGGGTTGTGTTGAGATTGGTCCCTGCCCTGACTCGAAGGGCGGCCAGGAATCCGCGCCGTGAGAGGGCGGAAAGGGAGCGAAGGAGACGGTTGTCGACGTTTCCCTCAGGATGTGGAAACTGGTTCCAGTCGCCGAGCCCAGTCCAGGTGAGGGGGAGGAGATGGGAAGGGCGGTCGTGCGCGGTCTGACTCTGGTTTCACGCATGTTTGAAATGTGACCTTTGCTGCTCTGGGGAGATGAGGAAAGGAGCACCAGCCCCGTCCTGATGAGGGAAGAAGGTGTGTGCCTCGCTTACACGGAAGCATGATGCCTGTTGCATTTGTTTAAAATCCTTAGTTTAGCAGAGTGCGCAAAAGGCTTGCAACGCAGCAGAAACCTATCTGGTCAGTGCGTGCTGGTAAGAACAAAGTTATGCACGGAGCCTCTTTGTATTTTTCAAAACTAATATGAGCCCTTTATTTAAGGAACTCCATTTCTAGACAGTATAAAGAAGAGACAGTTTCTAATCTAGTCTACTAACTAGGATGGGTGGAGATTGCAAGACATGTCCTGCTCTTATGGCGCCAAAATGAAGAGATCATGGCATCGCCTCTTGTAAGCCGCCCTGAGCCCGCTTGCGCGGAGGGCGGGGTAAAAATACCTAAATAAAATAAATAAATAAATAAATAAAATTGTTTGTTGAGAGAGTGGGAAAGACGGAAGGAAGGACGTTTCTCAGAGACTAGCAATCTACACATCAGAGGGGTAGTAGCAGAATAGAAAGAGAAAGGATGCCCTGTGTCCTGCCCTCTCTACCTCTATAGTAGTCCCCCTCTGAAGTCTGAGGCATGAGACAGCATAAAACCCCATCACTTCCAACAATGTCAATGCAGACTGGGAGGATTCAATCAAGAAAATAAGTCAATCAAGAGTGTCATTGAGGTGGGGTGGGCCATGCATGCATCCTCTCATAAGCCCTGTTCCTATGTTACAGTGCATGTACACCTGCTTGCAAGAAAGAACAATCTGTGTTCACTTTACAAATGGAAGCCAGAGACCAGTACCTTTATAAATGTGGGGTTTAACTTATGTATTGAACATAACATGAAAACACTTGAATGTGTATATAAAGAAAAATTGCATGTGCACTGTATATGAGGTGTATATGTGTTTATGATTTCTTCATGCACACTGAGTGCCTGCATGGACTGGATGCATTGAGAAACTTGGGCCAATATCACAGTTTTGTCAGTACCTGTGTGTATCTGAGACCTGTGAAAATGCACTCAAGGCCTCTTGAGGCAGTAACCCTGTATTTAGGCTGTTCTACTTCATGTTGTAGGTGACACAATGTAATTGAAACAACCCCCACCCTTCCACCCCATGCATGTAGAAAATAAGAAATTATGGAGAAAATTTACATTTTATCTTCTTTACAATAAATAAATTCTTGACTTGAATTTTCTGCATGTGAAGATTCCCTTTGTATGGTGAAAAATCCACATAAGCTCTCACCTTTGGTCTGAAACAGTACAGACCAAATGGTACAAACCATACTTGAGAATAAGAACTAAATAATTCAGTTGGACTTAGTCAGAATAGTCTTGACCTGCCCAGAAAAAAATAATATTAAGGATGATGATGTGAGTAAAATCTGAATGGGGAAAATTTCTCGTGCTCTAAATAGACCATAATTTGGTTTAGTATGTTTGTTCTTACACAGTAAACAAAACCCATGTTAATTTTACGTTCAAATACTTGGACTTAAATGTTTAGTCACAGTAAACAAAACCCATGTTAATTTTATGTTCAAATAGCAACAAATACTTGGACTTAAATGTTTACTGTGGGGGAGTGGTTTTAAATGTTTAAACAAGTACAAAGCTTCATGGGAGAAGTATGAATAATATCTATAACAATTTAAATGCAATGTAGGATGTATTTCCCCTACATTGTTTAAAAGTACTGAAAACTGGTGATAAGCTAACTTTAGTATCCCAAAAGAACTGTATATGACATGCCTTGAATGTAGTTGTCTCTTTCAACACAATTAAACTCTTTTCCATGGAGGTCTTCCAGAGGGTACTTCAGATCCACTGTCATTCAGAACTGTTTGTTTACTTTCTTTACACCCCATCTCTGAGAACCCAAAGTGACTTATGTAATTCTCCACTCCTCCATGATAGATTCACAATCACCCTGTGAGTTAGGTTAGGTTAAGTGCATATGACTGGCCCAAGTCACACAGCAAACTTCCATGGCAGAGTGGGGATTTGTTGTTGTTAACTTTATGGAACAATCTAGGAGTGGGAAGTTTCCACTGCATGTTCCTGTGCTGCGCTTTCATTCTTCCCACCGAAGTCTATTGTCAGTTCCTCTGTAGTCTAAGGCATGTTCTGCCACGGCCCGTGCTTGGGCTTTTTCAGTGGCTGGCTCATGGTTCTGGAATAGCCTCCTGGAAGAGGTCTGGGGAGATTTTATTCTCCTAGCTTTCCAGTGAGGATGTAAAACAGAACTATTCCAGAGAGCTTTTGGGCAGCCTGGGTCAAAGGGTGGTGGTGGAATATGGGCATAAGCTGTTTTAGTTTTTAATTTTGTTATTTTTAATGTTGGTTTTATTACATAGTTTATATTGTTTTTACTTTGTTGGGTCTTGGGATGTTTGGAAGAAAGGTGAATTTGTAAATACAGCCAGGGTCGGAGGCGGCAGCTTCCTCTTCCCCAGTCTGGGACCTGATAAAAAGATTGTCCCAGCTGAGAGTGAAGAGGAAGTACCACAAGGCAAGGAGGCTGCCACAGGAAGAAGGGCTTGTGTGCAGGCAGCTCACACAAGGGAGAAGTGGAGACAGCGCTCAAGGAGTGGATAGGCCCTGGAGACCAAGAGGACCTGGCAGCTGAGAGCATGGACTGTCAGAACTGCTCCCTGGATGAGGCAGGTCCAGCAGCCACGCTCCAAAACTAGGAAAAGGACTGCAGATGGACAGCACTCTTCAGCTCTGTGTGTGTGTGGTTTCATTTGTTTAGCAGCATGGCTACTGTATTTTCTCAATTCAAGGTTTAGTAACTTTTCCATTTTAAACAATTCAGGTGAACCACATCGACTTTTAATTGGCATCGAGTATGTTGTTGGACGCAAGAACTGTGCCATTTTAATTCAAGATGATCAGTCAATCAGCCGAAGCCATGCAGTCCTTTCCGTTAGTCATCCTCCAGTTAACCTTGTAAGTACCAAATGGACAGCAGTATTAATCATGGGCATTGTATGGCTTTATAAAAGAGCTCTTGAATTTGAATGAGTGTTGCCTGAGTCAAATCATAAGACTAGTAAAAGGAATGTCCTTCCATTAGTGCAACCGAGTTCCCGCATTATTTCTGTGTAGCTCTATATAACAGTTTACTGGACCTGTGCTTCTGGTTTATCAAGATGATACTTTTAATATATTTCATTCAAGAATTTGTAATAAGCTGCTACCAGATTGATTACAATGTTATATGGGGAGTTACAGCTAGAAAAGGTAAGCAGTCTCTATATAACAGTTTACTGGACCTGTGCTTCTGGTTTATCAAGATGATACTTTTAATATATTTCATTCAAGAATTTGTAATAAGCTGCTACCAGATTGATTACAATGTTATATGGGGAGTTACTGCTAGAAAAGATAAGCAGTCTAGTCAAAGTCCCAGTATGTTCACTGGTGCTTGTAGACCAGTGTGGTCTAATGGTTAGAGCAGTGGTGTCAAACATAAGGCCCAGGGGCTGGAACAGGCCTGTTCATGCTCTTATCCGACATGCAAGCAACTTGTGCAAGGGAGGGAACAGGAGGCTGCTGGGGGAGGCGAGTGGGTGGAGCCACTCAATTACGGCTTCAGCACAGCAGACCAACCTTGTCTGCAGCCATCAAGCAGAACCCCTTTGCTTCAGTGTCAGCCTGACTGGTAAGTTGGGAGCCACTGCAGGTGCATTCATGCCAGCTTGAGGTTCCAAGGTGAAGTCACATGCCTCTCCGCTCAACCTGCAGCTCTGGGGATGTTGTCCCACATGACCACAAGGATCCGTGTTTGCAATAAAATGCACACATACAGAAATAAAACACATGTTAAAACATACATCCAAATAATGGAAACACAGAGGTGAGTGGGAATAATAGGAGGCTGTTGGGGCTTATAATTACCAGTCCAGAAGTAGGCTGTGAAGATGGAAAGGAACCCAAATGAATTTGGTAGGCGCCCAGGACAGACCCACGGCAATGGAGCTGCGTTTGTCCAGATATAGGCTAAAATGCTACCTGACGGCATGCTGATGAGAATGCCCACCTAAAACTATATTCTGCTGTCATTAGCTGAAAATAAAACTGACAGCGATCTGGAGTAACTCATGATATTGTACATAAATATAGCTGATGGGTGCTTGTTGGAAGGGGAAAGCGGGGGGTGGGTGGCTGAAAGGTGTTAAGTGGTCTCACAAGTATGGTAAACAAGTCAGGAAAGGTCAGGCCAGGTGGGGAAATGCTTAGTTAAGGTGAAACAGTGTATTTTCCTGGATACCCATTATTGCCATTGTGTATGGTTTTAAGGTGGGGACAGGATTGTTAGTGGACAAACCCATGACTTTACTTCTTTCAGAATCTCTGCCTAGGCATGTCTCTGGCCTGTGTTTGCTGGCATCTGTTTTGTGTGACACCAGAACCATTTTTCAGACCAGGCAGTGCCCAGAATGTGTGATTTTGGGGTGCTGTTAAGAGTGAAAGGTGCATGGACTTACTCTTGTCTGATGCCAAACTATTCCTTCATCAGAAGGAGGGGTCAGGAGGCTAACAGCGGTGCCAGTGATCTCTGGTTATGCTGGTTGCTGTGTGGGCTGAGGCCTCTGCCACATGTGCAGCCTTGTGCGCACTGTGCCCACTCCCATTAGATGATCTTTTGGCCTGGGGCAGCTGCTGCCACACGTGGGTGGCACAGCTTGCTGACAACCTCTGGCTTGAACTCTCAGCATCGCCCTTCTATGGATCACCTGGTGGTTGTGGTTGGAGGTAGCCACTGCAGCATGGACAACTTCAGCTTTATCAGGTTGTGCTTGGCCTGGGTCCTGCCATGCATGTAGCCTTGGACCTGGGCCGCCTCCTCCTCGCTTCTGCAGGGTTAGTTCAACTTGTCTTGCCAGTCCCCTTCCATGGTGGTTCGGGGGGAGGGGGAGCTCGCAATACCCAGCCGTTTCATGTTTTTACCCTGGGGCCTGGGCTTACAGCAGTGGTGGTGGGAGTGGGCTGGGGCATGGGAACATCTGCCCAGTGCTGCACCACTGGCTCCCCAGTCTGCCCATGCGGATTTTCCTCTCCCCCCCTCCCCAACCATGGGGCCTTGCAGTGAGGACAGACCAACTTGGAGCTTAGCAGCTTTGTTGTTGTTGTTCAGTCGCACAGTCAAGTCCAACTCTTCGCGACCCCATGGACCATATCACGCCAGGCCCTCCTGTCTTCTGCCGTCCTCTGAAGTTTGCTCAATTTCATGTTTGTTGCATCTGTGACACTGTCTAACCATCTCATCCTTTGCCGTTCCTGTCTTCTTTGACCTTCAGTCTTTCCCAGCATCAGGGTCTTCTCCAGTGAGTGCTCCCTTCTCATTTGGTGGCCGAAGTATTTGAGCTTCAGTTTCATTATCTGGCCTTCCAGGGAACAGTCAGGGTTGATTTCTTTTAGGATTGACTGATTTGATCTTCTTGCAGTCCAAGGGACTCTCAAGAGTCTTCTCCAGCACCATAGTTCAAAAGAATCTATTCTTCGGCGCTCGGCCTTCCTTATAAGTCCAACTCTCACAGCCATAGATGACTACTGGGAGTACCATTGCTTTGACCATGCGGATTTTTGTTGGCAGGGTGATGTCTCTACCTTTTATTGTGCTGTTTAGGTTTGCCATCACTTTCCTCCCAAGGAACAGGCGTCTTGATATTGCGCTTCAAGCCCACTTTTGCACTCTTCTCTTTCACTCTGAGCAAGAGGGTCTTGGGGTCCTCTTCACTTTCTGTCATTAGAGTGGTATCGTCTGCATATCTGAAGTTGTTGATCTTTTTCCCAGCAATCTTAATTCTCGCTTGTGATTCATCCAGGCCAGCATTTCGCATGATGTACTCTGCATATATATTAAATAAGCAAGGTGACAATATACATTCTTGTCGTACTCCTTTTCCTATGCTAAACCAATCAGTTGTTCCATATCCGGTTTAACTGTCGCTTCTTGACCCTTATACAGGTTGCTCAAGAGACATGTGAGGTGGTCTGGTACTCCCATCTCTTTAAGGACCTGCCATAGTTTGTTGTGATTCACATAGTCAAAGGCTTTAGCATAATCAATGAAGCAGAAGTAGATGTTTTTCTGGTACTCTCTTGCTTTCTCCGTAATCCAGCGAATGTTGGCAATTTGATCTCTAGTTCCTCTACCTCTTCGAAACCCAGCTTGTACTTCTGGCAGTTCTCTATCCAGTTCTCTATCCAGCAGCTACTGTCCTTTATAAGTTTATATTTCTGGGGCCTGGCATTATGTTTTATGGCATACATGGCTTGGCCTGTCAACATATCTATGTCAGATCCGGCCCTTGTAATAAATGAGTTCAACACCTCTACGTTAGAGTGTAGACTAAGATCTGAGAGACCTAGGTTCAAATGCCCGCAGCTATGAAGCGCATTAAGTAACTTTGAGTCAGCGACATTCTCTCAGAGTAACCTACCTTACAGCATTGTTGTGAGGATAAAATAGGGAAGGGGGTGTCACGTATACTGCTCTGAACTGTTTGGAAGGAGGGCAGGGCAGAAACTGGGCAAATAACCTTGATATAATATAGTATAAACTTTCATAGGAAATATGCAAGAATGTAGCAAAACCAAAAAGCATTTTGCTGTAGTGTCATTCTCCTTAATGCATTTAAGAGGTTTGCATGTGATATAGAAGCAATTTGAAAATTGTATGGTCGAAGTAAGCGTTCAACCATGTTTTTTGCTGACAGCTTTCTTTCCAGCTAGCAGTAAGGGGGAATTTTAGACAGTGTCCTCCAGTATTATTTCCAATAGTTCACTAGCCCATGAAAGTATGATTTCTGGGGTGCAGCGGGATGCAGTTTCAAGAAAGTTGTCTTCTGCTTGGGAAGAACTCTTCTTCTGTGCTGTGCTTGCACAAGGTAGGATAAAACTCATCGTGTACGCTGCTCAATAAATTTTGTAAAATTCAGAAATAAAAGGTGATGTGGCTAGTGTAATATGACTGAGATCACTAACATCCTGTGATCTTAGGCAGATCATGAGAGGAAGGGCAGGAAGGGTTGCATCAGTGTTTCATTCTTTTGGCCCTTCCTTTCATGCCCAGGGAAATGCTGATCGCCACTTTGGGGTCAGAAAGCAATTTTTCTCCAGGCCAATTTGGCCAGAGTTTTTGGAGGGTTTTTTTTGTCATCTGGGCATGGAACAGGGGTCACTGGGGGTGCAGGGGGGAAGTATTTATGAATTTCCTGCATTGTGCAGGGGGTTGGACTAAATGACCATGGAGGTCCCTTCTAACTATGATTCTGCTGCACAAATCTGTGCCCCGTGCATCTCCAAGGCCCAATGGAAGACACACAGGAGAAGTCTAATGAGTTGTTTATTGCAGTAACAGGAGATGCAGTATGTAGTTCCTAAGCACTTGCTTTTCCAACCTGCTCTCTGCCAAAATCAAGAAGGGCAGAGGGTCTTATACCCCAAATGGCATCACACAGGTTTACAGTCCCCAAAAGGTATCTTTGGTCATAGGTACACTGGCATCATGTGAGCTGGCAGGCTTCCATTGGTATACCCCAATTTGGGATACAATTACATTCATTTACATTGTTTATTTGAACTAGGAACATTATAGTCTTCATCTGGAGATCTTCTTTTCTTTTCTTTTTAATACTACATAAACTACCAAGAAAAAATGGGGATAGGGGGACTACAATTTTAGGGAGAAAGAAAAGATAACCCACACTAAGCTAAAAACCCAAGGTTAGGCGATCATTCCCTGTTAAAATGCTGTTAGTAAATGAAAAGGCTGTTAATAAACAACATAATTTGTGAGATCCTGTCTTTCTAAGCTTATATGTTAGATTGTTACTTGTTATGAGAAGATTTCCCGAGCATCTCCTCCAGCTCGTTTCATAAAGGCAGTTTGCAAAGTCCTTCCGCCTTTACATCTATACTAAAACTCTCTAAATTCTTGATGTCTTCTTAGATGTTCACTGCAGCCCAATCTTCTTCCATCCAAAGGAATAGAACCGCTAGTCTTAAGCCTCTTTCTCTCTGGTCTCGGGGGTCCAGTGGCTTCTCAAAGGTTTCTTGATTATGAAGGGTACCTCCAGCTCCTTTTTCTCAGCAGACTTTAAGATGACACTTTCTAAGCACACACGCAGAGAAGAAGTCAAATCCTTATAAATTTCTCTTGTTTCTCTTGTGCTTTTTCTTCTTTTCTCATTGAGATCGCTGCTTAATTTAGTGTCTATCTCATTCTCTTTGGGAACCCTCAATTCCATTTTTTCTCCACTCGCCTCCTGGAGCTGCCGAGATCCAAATTGTTGATTTATCTTGGCCAGCTGCTGGTTAATACCAACAAGTTGCTCCAAGATCGGCTTGATGGCTTCTGCTACTAGTGCAGTGACGTCAGCTTCCATTCTTCTCCTCAGATTTTTCGCCATCTTTTTTTTTTTAATCTGCTGTTGCTCATGGAAATCTCCCACAACAGGCTTATACGCTTGCAATACTTTCAGAAGTATCCGTTTACAACTGTCTTTCTCCCCCCCTTCCGTTTATGTAAACGTGTCAAAGAGGCACCCCCTCCAACCGCTTAAGGGGTTTCGGGGGGGGATTTCGTTTCATGTATCCGTTTACAATCGTTTCTCTCCCCCCCCCTTGTTTATGCAAATGCATTGAGAGGCGTCCCTCTCTCAGCATGCTATCGCTCAGAAAGTTTTTCCTTTGAGGGGGAGGGGATTTTCTCTTCTGAAGACAAATCACTCATTTTCACTCACAGTTCGCTCCTTAACTCACATTCATTATTGGTCTTATCTTGACCTCGCTCTTAATCGCTCCTCCGCTAGATCTCGTGTGCTTGATTGGATCGACACAGCTTGTAGCCTCGCTAAGAGGACGCAGTCAGCGAGAGGGACCGTCAGGGCAGGGGGGAGCCTCCATTCCCCTGCCGTTAGCAGGAAAAGAGGCTCACCCTAAAAGCCCTATGGCTTGGAAGTTCTCCCTGAACTCCCATGGAAGCGCAGAGCCAATTGCGCCTCTCCCCCTTGCTGGGCGGTACGCCTCCGCAGAGAGCTGGGAAAGGCGTCCGCCATTGTGTCGTTGACCCCGCCCCTCATCTGGAGATCTTCAAGGTCTTCTGCATATGTATGGAGAGGCAGCTTCACATATAAGGTGTGAATCACAGCCTAATGTTTGGTTCTTGTCAGACTTTCTGGAGCCCACTTACACAAAGAAGATGATGTTCCAGGAGGATGCAGGGCTGTTGCTGTGTTATTCTAATGCAAAATGTTAGGCCATAAATCCTCTTCCAGAGATACAACAACAAAGGAGAATGCAGTTGACCAAATGGTTTCAGTTTTAGGCACATTCCTGGTTTCTAAGTTAACTAAAGGCCTATTTATCTAAGCACACAGACATTTTATTTTCTCTTCCTCTAACACCTATAACTGTTACACATTTCTGCTCTCATGACTAATATAGATATAGATGATAATTCATTACATGGTATACTATTTGTCCTTTAAAGTATAAGCATGCATACATATAAAGCTAACATCTAAGATCTACCATCTTCTGCCTTGTCCCACAGTTCTGTGATCCTCAGCATAACACCACCTCATGTTTTCTTGATATACAAGAAATTATTGTTTTGGGTATCTGAAACTTTTAACACATGTTTGTTTTCAGAGTGAATCATCTACATTTCCTGTGTTAACACTGAAGGACACCTCTAAATATGGTACCTTTGTTAATGGAGAAAAACTACCAAGTGGCAGTTCCAGAAATTTGCAGTCTGGTGACAGAATCACTTTTGGAGTCTTTGAAAGCAAATATAGGTAAGATCAGTTACAAAAAGGAGAACTATGTTTGGGTTGTACATTGAAAGCTGCTGAACATGCATAATGATACACTAAAAGGGAACAAAAACCAGGACCCTTACATTTAAGGTTTCCAAAAACTCTTGTATATTTTGTGTGTGAGCAAAACACTTCAGATGTGTTAAGGCCTTTTAGATACATTGGATTATTGAGGATGCGGGTTTAAGAGTAGCATAAGCAGGGGTCCTTTTGTAGAAAAAGAGCTGCAGGAGCTCATTAGCATAACTCATTAGCATATGCCACACCCCCTGACATCACTGGAAGTGTGTCATAAGGCCACACCCCCTGACATCAGCGGAAGTGTGTCAGAAGGCCACACCCCCTAACATAAGCCTTCTGGAGGGTTATCAGTGTGCACAGAGAGACAGAGGAAGAGACAAGGGACTGTTCTATGCAGTAAAAGCCAGAAGCCTCCTTTAAATAAAATCTAGCTCTGAGCCTCTGGCCTAAGATTAATTTTAATAAAACTTGGAAAGCATCAAATTTAGTAAAATATTAATCAATAAGGTCCCGGATCAAGTTACCAGCCATAAATGAATTTTGAAGACTGGTGGTTTAATATATAGTAGATGTGTCCAACAGGTAGATCGCGATCCACCATTAGATCGCGGAGGGGTCAGAGGTAGATCACCAGCCCCAAGGCATCTCTTGAAAACAAAATATTAACCCTTAAAAATGACATTTTTCTGAAGACCTGTGCTGAGCAAGAATCGTTTTGGAAGCTAGTGCCTAGAGACAAATTTCCCAAAGTTAAAGAAAGTTATTGAGACAGTTAAAGAAAGTTATAACTCAATAAAAAATTTAAAATGTTCCCAGTTCTTTCTGGATCTTTGTCTCTCTGTTTTGTTTTTGCTTATTTTGCTTACCAGTAAATGACTGAAGGTGCATTATAAATGGGGGTGGGGCAGTGGAACCCAACTTTAGTGGGTTAAAATCTAATTTGAAACTAATTTGAAGCTTTATTTTCATGGTGGTAGATCACCGGCACTTTTGGCCGGAAAAAATAGATCCACCAGCAGGAACAGCAGGAAAAAGCCCAGCAGGAACAGGCCACACCCAACAGCAGAAACTAATTAGGCCACACCCTGACAGCACAGCTCATTAGCATATCAGACCACACCCCATGCCTTCCCTTGGCTTGCCTAGGCGCCCCACAGCTGTGGGGCGCCTGGGCAAGCCCCCCCCTTGAAGGGAAGGCAGTTTAAACTGCCTTCCCTTGTCTTGCCCGGGTGCCTCGTGGCTGCGTTGAGCCTGGACAACCTGGCCCTTGGACAGCCAGGGAAGGCATGGGGAGGCATTTAAATGCCTCCCCAATCCTTCCAGGGGGGCCCCTGGCCAGCCCGCCTCAGAGTCGCCGGGGGGGTTTGCTCTCCAGGCCTTCCCTCTGTAGCTACGCACACAGAGGTTTTGGCTGTAGTGGGCATGGCCAACTCTGAAGCCAGCCGGAACTCCGCTCCTGTGTGTTCCTGCCCAAAAATAGCCCTGGGCATACCTAAGGGTGTGCCTTTCCCCATATGTTCCCCAGAGAGTACTGCATTCAGGGGCCCAAAACTGGCTGGCCCTCCTAGGCCCCAAAGACGCCAGGCTGGTGAATAACCAGGGCCAGGGCCTTCTCAGTGGTGGCTCTGCACTGGTGGAATGAGTTCCTGGAAGAGAACAGGGCCCTGCAGGACCTCTTACAGTTCCGCAGGGCCTGCAAGACAGAGCTCTTCCACCAGGCCTTCGATAAGGAGCCGCATCAAATACCTGAGAGCGATCCTGTGCCCTGGACTTACCATCTTCAGCCTGTCCTCGATGCACAAATAAGTTGATCAAACTGAGCTGGTGTGGGAGCACCATCATGATTGTCACCTGACTTGTTTATGTTTGTTTTATGAATGATTTTAATTGTATTTATATGTACTTTTATGTAAGATGCCCTGAGCCTGCCTTGGTGGGGAGGGTGGGGTATAAATTGAATAAATAAGTAAATAATAATAAATCTTCCAAAGCTCTGCTGCCAGTGGCTGAGTCTGATATGAGTCCTGGCAGAAATGCTGGTTACTCTCTTTCCTTCCTAACAGGGTTGATGTGGAATAAAATGAAGAAGCACGTACACTACCCTGAAGTCTTTTGGAGAAAAAGTGTAATAAATGCATGATAAATCCCTGAGCCTTGGTCAGGTGTTGCTCAAGACAACTGGCCCACCTGTCCTTCATTCTCCCTGGTAGTGGCCGTCAGGTGTAATCAGATGTAATTCTTTGTCTTGGGTTCCCGCTGGGAGATGTGCTCTGACCCTCTGTGTCTTTATCTTGACTGCAGAATCCTGGCTTTTCAACCAAAACGGTGGGAGCCATTTCATACTTTACATTTTTAGCTATACATCTAATGAGTGTGTTACCTAAAAAACTTAAAATGGTGTTTGCGTTCACATGATGTAAATGTTGGCCTCAGATGTGATGCTTATCAAGAAGGCAAAATTATGCACAGACAAATCCAAAATATGCCAGTGTGCCAACTGTCCATGGGATCTTTGTACAGCCGGTTGCTCAATACTTGTGTAGGTTAATAAAGCTAAAAAATAAATGTTGTAAAATTTTTAGTTATAACTGACATGAGATTCTTGTGTTTTATTTTGAGGAAAGAGAAAATAGTGCAGATTTACTCTGCAGTGCAGTCCTAACAAGTAAATAATAAAGTACATAAATAAATAAAAAGTACAGAAGGAAAGCCCTGCTGGATCAGACCACTGGGCCATCTTGTCCAATATCCTGTCACACAGCCACCAACCAGTTCTGAGGGGTCAACAAACTGGGCCTCTCAGCAATGGTATTCAGAGGTTTGCTGCCTCTGCAGATGGATGCTCCCTTCAGTCAACATGGCCAATAGTCATTGATGGACCTATCCTCCATGAATCTGTCTAACCCCCTTTTAGAGTCGTCTTTGCTTGTGGCTGTCACTATTTCCACTGGCAGAGGATTCCACAATTTGATTACTTGTTGAGTAAAGAAATGTTCTGTACCTATTGCCCATCAACCTCATTGGGTGCCCCTGAGTTCTAGAATTGTGCCCCTGAGTTTTGTGGGAGAGAGAGAAAAATTTGCTCTGTCCACTTCTCCATCCTAGAGTAGGTGGATCTTACTTCAGAAAATATGAGAGCCTCTGTCATAGAATGATTTGTCTGTTGCCTTCCCTCTCTTCAAGTAAATTTACAGTTAGGAGAAGATAGTTTAGATGTGCACCAAGAGAACACAACTGAAGGAAATTGTACTGTTGGTCTACCCTGGTTAGATAGGATTGAGTTGCCTGTCAGAGTTCCCACAACTGCTGATTTTACCTTCTTCAAAGTTTAGAAGCAAAATTCTGGTTTAATTTGTCTACCGTTAGTTACTGCTCCTCAGTTTAAGGGTACCTCTATCATACAGTCGTAACCTTTCATCCTAGCCATATGTGTTGATTCTGGTAAAATTACAGAGGTGATGGTGGTTTTTAAAGTTATTTATGAGATGTAACCCTGCTGAAGATCTGTAGGAAAATGTTATAAATATTACAAATGTGTCTTTATTGCAAAGGTTATAAAGCTGAAAGTGTTTATGGTATTATGTCGTATTTTACTGAGAAACTGTGATAGTAAAAATTGAATTGTACTAGCCAGAATTTTCATGACTTACAGTGTGAAAGAAAAATATTTAAATACAAAATATCTTAGCAACCACACATTGTACTTCATAGATGCTTAATACTTCATTTCTTACATTCTTTATAGTCCAGAGTTACACACCTTTAAGCCCATTAACTTCAGTGGACATAGAAAGGGTGTAACACTTTTTAGGATTGCATGGTTACTGATCTAAGGGGAAAAAATTGTCTCACAAGGTCAGTTATTACACCATTAAACTATTATATATAGTTGGTATTTGGCCTGTTAGCTATTCTGAATTTGTGCTGTACTTCCATCAAACCTGCTGGCTAATCATGAAATCTGTTTTTTCCTTATGAGGGCAAATAGTAGTTTGGTGGTGGCATTTACAAAGGGAAAGTAGTGTATGGGAGTGAAAGGGACTAACTGCTATCTCCACGTGCCAAACCAATTTGGGACACCCCACAACTGCGATTTATAGACATTTAGAGAAATGAAAAATGTCATTTAGTCATGTCCTAAATCTATTTGATTCTAAAGGTACTTCCAGGTAAGTAGTTTAGGATTACAGCTGCAGTCAGCAGGCCTCTCGCCCCATTAAATTTGATAGAACACATTCTGAATGTAGCCTATTAAATTTCAGTGATATGTTGGTCTCCTGATTCAATAAGTATTAAATCCTGTTGCAGGTTGCTTGTTTGGAATGGGAATTGGATTTGGAATGGAAATTGCACCAATTCCTGTCTTTTTCAGTACCTGTTTTAGGGATCTGGGGGTTTGGAGCATTGTGCAACTTTCAGTGCATTCCTAAAGAGAACTGCACTGTTCTGAGTAGCTTACAGTAGTATAACTCTGTTTAGGATTGCACTCTTTGTGCTCTAAATGAACGATTAGCACTTGCAGTTAATAGAATTTACCATTTCACTTAGCCAGTAGTTCCCATCATTGATGCTGCTTTCAAAGCCAAATGGGTGTAGGGCAAAATGTATTCATTTACATTCGTGCCAATTAAGAGAACTTGCATTTACTTTAGCAGCCAATTTATCCTAGAGTGTGTGGGTCATACGCTTACAAAGAAATGTGTCTGTTACCACTTTCCGTGTTGACAAAAGTCTAGGTCTAACTGAATTAGTAAACCTGTGTTTTGGCTTTATCACTGCAGATTGGGCTCACACAATTGAATGTTCCTTCATACAAACAACCCTTCCATAGAAAAAACTAGATGCTGAATACAAGGGTTCTGATCAGACACAGGAGTGCCTTGGTTGAAGTAGGATTGAGGTTAAGATGGAATATACATAAAAAAAAACACCTCAAGTGTCTCTGGGCTTTGGTCTGGTTATCCCTTTACTTATGGGACCTTGGGGGTGAATATGTGCATACAAATTGCATGCACTCCTCAGCAGGTATGAAAGATACACATGCATTGAAGCAGGATTGTATCAAAACACACAAACACTCTTGAGAAGCAACATCCGAGTGGTTTGCTTCTTTAGAGCAGAGGTGTTGAACTCATTTGTTACGAGGGCCGGATCTGACATAAATGTCACTTTGTCAGGCCGGGCCTTGTGTGCCATAAAATGTAACATAAGGTACCAGAGATATAAGTTTATAAAGATGATTTCAGATGCCGAATGCCAATAGCAGGCTTGATTGGATTATGATATACAGAGGGGTAGTGTGTGTGGGGTTATCAGCATTGGTAATGAAACAGGAAACCAAGGTCTCAGTTTGATCCAGGAGGATTCAGTCCAGGGGGATGTAAAGGATAAATGAAAATAGGTCAACATCCGTAAGTAGTGACTCATGAAAGCTCATCCCCTGCGACAAATTTTGTTAGTCTTTAAGATGCTATTGGACTCTTGCTTTTTTCTACTGCTACAGAAAGACTAACATGGCTAGCCATCTTTACCTATATCTAAAGAAGTGAGCAGTGACTCATGGAAGCTCATACCTTACCACAGATTTTGTTAGTCTTTAAGGTGCTACTGGACTCTTATTGTTTCTACTGCTGTTAGAAACCACAACATTCAAAAACCAGTGGTGAACCATTTTAACCCTGCAGGACATTCAGTTGCTGACCTAAGAGTAGCATTTCTCTTATGAAGGAATTTCAAAGGGAGACTGCTGAATTGCAACTGATCGTGAAGACAAAGAAAATGCATTCTCCTTACCTAAATTGAGGCCTAGGTCTCTTCTCTCTTAATCAATGCCTACTATTGTCATTTGGGGTCTGAAATCACTTCACTCTCCAAGATATAAGGACAGATGGACTCACATTCTAGCTGTGTCTGAAGAAGTGAGCAGTGACTAATGAAAGCTCATTCCCTGCCACACAGTTGTTAAGGTGCTACTGGACTCTTGCTCCTTTCCACTAATAAAGGTTGCAGGCTGTGCTGTTAGGTTCCCCCCCCCCCAATCTGTTAGAACTGAAAAGGGAGATCTCTCTCCTGCTCTCTCTGGCTCTTTCACTCCCCCTCCCTCCCTCTCTGAAGAAGTGTGTACACACACGAAAGCTTATACCTGGAATAAAACTTCGTTGGTCCACACGGGCGTCCATCTCTCTCTGTGGCTCTCTCCCTCCCTTTCCTCCCAAAGTTGGAAGGAAAGAAGCCCTCAGCCGATCAAGGGAAGGGAGGATTGGCTTTCTTCTCTTGTCTGTGAAACAGAAAGCAAGAGAGGAGAGAACTGGGCAAAAGCAAGCTGTGATGCATGAACAAGGAAGCAGAAGCAAGAAGTAGAAAGCAGACAAGAGTCAGTTGCTTGCGGGCCAGATAGGAGCCCTGCAGGGACTGGTTCCAGCCCACGGGCTGCATGTTTGATACCTCTGCTTTAGCGACTTGTTTGTTTAAATTTTAAAGAGATATATGCCTATTGTCATCCTTGGATGTCCCACTTGATGCAGTATGCATGCATTCTCAAGTGCAAAATGTACAGTGAGAATCTGACTTCTATTCCCTGGCTGATTGCAAGCTGCAAGTGAGAGTGACTAAAATGTCTTTGTGATACAGTTTTGATGAGCAACAGAAACAAATAACGATGAAGTCTCTGTTTTCTCTCTCCTCTTTTTTTAGGCACGACTGAACTGTAAGCACTGTGGGAAACCTGTTATAGATGTACGCATTGGGATGCAGTATTTCTCAGAATACAGCAATGTTCAACAGTGTCCACACTGTGGAAACTTGGACTACCATTTTGTGAAGCCATTCTCTTCGTTTAAAGTTTTGGAAGCTTATTGACAAAAGCTTTGCCATAGTAATAGCTATTTTATGAGTATTGTTTCTTTATTTTACATATCTTTTATAAGATCTGTTCTGTGACAGGAGGGAGGGGGGAAAACCCCTGATTTCTAACTGAAAGGAAGTGCAGCAGCTTTGTGTGTTTGTGTACATGTGTTCCTATGTAGATGCGTGTCAATAAGACCATGGTCCTCTTGCCACAGTTTCAGTGAAGGTGGGGGTTGAGGCAGCCAACATTTGCCCAAGCAACAACAAAAAAAGTCCATTCTGTCTTTGTTTAAAAATTTATTTATGACAGAGAAGCTGCAAGGTTTGGGGAATCTATGGCCTAACTAATACCTGGTTTTGAAATCAAAAATATCATGGAGAGAGGAAAACCCTTCATAAATGTCTCAACGCAGCTGGTTGGGATCTCTTGCAGCTGTATGTCCAGATAGATGGCATCTCAGTGGATTGCACTGATTGGCTCCCCACGTAAGAGCATTCATCCTTATGTTTGCCCTTGATCCACAGAAGTTGATTCCACAGTTCAGTGTAATGTAGAGGGTAGTGAGGGGATGAGATAATCTGGAGGATGGAAGCTGGGGTGATCTGTCCATTGTCTGATCCACAAGCTGGTCTTACAGTTCATGATGAGAACCTCTCCATGCATTCGGGTTTGCACTGTGCTTGGATGAGGTAAGGGATCAGGCTGAGTGGTTGTGGTGCCAGCTGTTCTGTGGCATCGCTACTTTTCAGCAAGCCTCTGTGTTTGACCTCTCTTGTATGATAAACCCCAAGTTGTTGTTCCACGATGAACTTGCCATTGTCATCACTTGGGAGCAAAGTCAGGTCTTGATAGCATAAGTAGTAGTAGCAGATATACTTTGAGAGTCTGTCTGTTGAGGTAAACCTAACCATTATGACAAATGAATGTAATGCTATGTCAGAAAATGCACTGGTTTCCCCCCCCCTAAAAAAACTTATTTTTGGATAGCGTCTTCCTGGAATATATATTTGATAATTAGAACTACCCTCACTGACAGATCATACTGTTTCCGCTAATATTTTAATCCTAGCAGGGAAGTTGCTTTTACCAAAACAAGCTTGAGAACTTACAACTGTGTTATTTCAGATGCTTTGTAGGTGTTGTTGATGCTCTGAAGGACTGTGTAGCTAATTGCAGACCAGCTGTTAAAGGGTGTCTGAACTGGAGCACTTCTGTTGCAGCCTTTTATGTTTGGGTGACCCTCATCTCTCATTGCAGTTTCAGTAAGCAGTGAGCAAAGCAAATGGGTTATGTTTCAAGTGGCTACCTGGAGTGAATAGATTTACCCGTTGTTAGGAATGCCACCGTTTCACTTGCAAAATGGGAGAGATAATTCCTTTATCATGTGTGAGTGCTAGTCTAGAACAGAAACTTCTTAAAGAATAAAACTTGTAGCTGGCGCTTTCATCATGGAGTCAACTTGGGATGTGTCAGCTGTTTAAAAGTAGAAGGAACATCCCCCCCTCCCCAGAAGCTTGCAGCTTCAAACAAACCCTGCACACGTGTGTGTGTGTGTGTGTGTGTGTGGACTTCATTCATAAACTGACCTAATGGATTCAATGCTGATGCCTTAGAATGGCAGATTAAAGGGATGGACTGGGATCCAAGGGTTTTTTTACATTTATGGAAGAGTTGTCTTAATCCAGTGGGCTTGCAGAACTCCTTTCCTTTTAACGCCACATTGCATCCTACTTTTGAAATTCCCCTGGCTTTGAAAGCAGTTTGCTGTGCAAATGTAGGGAGGGCTGCTGTGCTGAGGAAGAGGGTCAGAATTCCTCTTGGTCTCACGAAACTAGTTACATGTAAGGTGGTGCCCACCCCACCCCACCCCTTTTTGGATCTAGTTAATCTTCAAGAAAGTTGTGGGATATTTTAAGACAATTTGGCTCCTTCTGTCCTGTACCTGTTTTGAAATGGCACTTTTTACTGAAGTTGTAAACCATAAATTTAACTTGGGGTTGGTAGACTAAAAATGATTGAACAAATTTATTTTTGAGCCCCCAAGAAATTGTAAGGTTGTTACTGCTCTGATATAGTTTCCATATTAATATTTACATGCATGAAACTAAAGTAAAACTGAGGGACATATCATACTATCTTGGAGGACCTAAGTATATTCCAGCACAGATCCCTCGGCATCAGGAGAGATGAGAGATCTACCTGGACAGTGATTTCAGTTTTGGGGGGCAACAGCCATTAAAATGAATCTCTGAGGGGAATGATTGAAATAATTTTCTATAGACTAAATTAGGACACTGGCCACAATCCAATGTATAAGCACTTAAGCCACATTGGAATGATTAGGTTTAATTGCCCCTAGCTCTTTGCTGGATCATGCCCATTATGTAGCTTTGCGAAACATCATTTGCTAAAAGAAGAATACTCCATTGTACTCATTGCAAGTAGGGCTCTAAAATGAGTTGTACATTCTCAAAAGAATGCAACCCCCCAAAAACTCATAATGCACTTAGTGTTTAATGTTATAAAGTCCCATCCCTGCAAGATCTTTAACTGCTTGCTAAGCTTATAGAGAACCATGTGTTTGCAATAAAAATGCAGCTGCTTAGAATTTTATCTTCTAAACTTCTAAAATTCTTTTTTTAAAAAGTTCAAAACAGGTCACCTGTACACTCAGCAACTATATATTTAGTTGTGTTCAGCTGAACTTGATATTTATGCAAAAGCATTTTTAGGTTCCCTTGATCTTTTAATTTGCATACTTCGCACAATTAGGCATTGTGCATGAATTTCAAATCATGTTGCACTAACATTTTTACATAGGAGGAGAGAGTTCTGGGAAGTTCTGGATTTGTACTTTTCACTGCTTGTGGTCTGCAGTTCCTTCTGGCTTGGCATCTCTTTTAATAAGGTGCTCCTCTTAAGCATTTGTGTGTTAAAGAATAGTATAAGTTCACAGATATTTATGGTGCATGCTTGATGCACTGCAGATGCTCCCCCCTGCTGGGCTGTTAGTAAGGTCAAGGCTCTGGTAAGCAGCCATGTTCCTGAGAATACCACTTGAGAACTGGCGGCCAAGCATGCCCTCTCTCATACTCCAAAGTAGACCTTGGGTCCTGTTGCCGTAGCCATCTGCACACTTGTGGTGTTCTGGGGTTTGCAACAGATTTGGCTGCAGGGCCTCTAGAAGCTAAGCCTTACTTTAAAGTAATTTAAACCCTAAACAGAGTTACATTCTTCTAAGTCCATTGGTTTTAGAAGGGTATAAGACTGCTTAGAATGGTGCTATAAATAAGGGTAGCAGAAGTGTTCTCTGCTTCTCAAGCTACCAATGTCAATTGTGGGGGAGCTTCAGGCCAGGGTTGAGGTATTAGCACTTGAGTTTATTCTGCCTTTATTAAAAAGCATATATGGATCTGGCCTAGAATTTAAAGACTGACAGGGTGGAGAAATCTATATATGCTTTGGAGCTGTCACATTATAGCCTGAGGGCTGGGGTGCTTATGTAAAAGCCAAGATATCTCTGCATAATTATGTTGCTGTATGTGCATTTAAAGAGTATTGGCAGGACGACTTCCAGTGGTTCTTAAAGGATGCATTATAAAAAGATGGAGACCTAACCAGGAGTATTATACAACAAAGGATATTAAAAATTTTTTTGCAAAAAAGTATATAGGGGCTTTGTGTACAACAGATATGAAAAAATTGCACCTAAAGTATTCCATTATTGTCTAAAGAATATATATATGCCGTTGCTTAAATTCATTTTTCATTATATTGATTTTTGAAAAACATGCGTAGCATTCTATTGTGTTAGCATCAAGAGAAAACAATTGCTTTGAAATTAGCTGAGCTTTAAAACATAAATGAGTCTCCAAAGAAAATTACCCTTTATCTGTACCTGTTTGAATTCAACTGGCTTCCAAATTATATCACTTCATGTAATACTTAGGCAGGGATGCCTGGCTTGTAGTAGTCTGTGAACTGCATCCAGACTGAATACATGGTATAATATAGTTTCTTAGCTCTGTCTTCATTCAACATCTCTTTTCCTGATGAAAAACGACTTTCAATCACTTCATGTAATACTTAGGCAGGGATGCCCAGCTAGTAGCCTGTGAACTGCATCCAGACTGAGCATCTGGCATGATGTAGTTTCTCGGTCTTCATTCAACATTTCATTTCCTGATGGGAAAAAAGAGAGAGACCTGCCAGGTAAGGAGCCTGTCATTTGCATGCTACCTTTGGCCTCAGCAGTGCTGCTTCCTGAGCATTTTTGTGCAGGAGGCAGTGCCACTAAGGTGAAAAAGAGCACAAGGTAGAGTTGCATACGGCATTTCGCCTAGCAAGACTTCTTCTGTGGGAAGTAGTCATTCTGTAACTCCGAGGATTCAGAGCCCTCTGGGCTGATCTCTAATTTGCCAGGTGTGGGTGTGGTGGTTATATGCAGGTTCCTTAGCTTGGAGGCATGGTCTTATTCTAGCCAAGCCACTTTGGAATGGATGTAGTTCATTGGGAAGGTCCAAAGCATCCTAATATGGGCAGTGCTGGTGCTCAAGCTAGATCTATTCTGAAAGTCTTTCTGCTCCCCGATTTATTCGTTTTAATGTGTAGTAGAAAACAACAACAGAAGTTTCAATTTCTCTCTTGTACCTTTTTCTCCAGACACTATGATGCTTTTATTTATTGAGGCATTTGTGTAGAACCATTTAAAGATAATAGGATGACAGAATATTGAACTTTTTGCACACGCACATCTCCCAACAAAATGGAATAGAACTTTATCCTGTCTGTCTGCTAAAACGTATATTTAAAATGCAGGTAAATTTATAATGCAGTCCCTTTTGAGGAAAAAGTGGAGTGAAACTAATAAGCAGTTCAAACTGTGAGCCCTGGGGAACCTGAAGTAGTGGAGTCCAGGCAACTTGGTGTCCTCTAGGACTGCATTTTGTAGCCACAATACCACATGGAGTTTAAACCATTTAAGGACCTGTTTGCAGGGTTGGGGTGCTGG